CTTTGCTGCAGTATAAAAAATCTTGGCATCAGCAAGCAGGAATACTAAATTCCAATATCTTTGCCATTAACTTAAATGATTTGAATGATCACTTTCTCTCTTGTTCTTCCTCTTCTAAAAGTGAGCCATTCAAGTCCATCTTAACTGAGCTTACAAGGAAGTTTGAATACTGGTAATTTAAACCGTCAGTTAAACTTCAGGCCAATAAGTTATTGCTAATAGATGTTTTGAGGGCTATCTTGTGTATTACATCAAATGCCACAGGATCCGATGGGAATTCAGTTTCTTTAATCAAACAAACTATTTGCTCTCCACTGCACTCTAACTTAAATTTTCTATGATTCATCAAGAAGCGGTGTATTCCTAGAAATTTGGAAATTTCCCAATTCCGTCCCCTGACTAAGCTCTCATCTCTGACATGCTCCCAAGATTAGCAGCCAATAAGCATTATTCCTGCTCTTTCTAAAGCCCTTGAACAAATCATTCACTCTTAAATATTTCTGGTTTCCTTTCAAAAGCAACATTCTTAACCCTTTTCAATCTGGATTCAGAAAGTCCCACAGCACTGAAATAGCCTTATCAATGATTGAAGACATTCCTTTGGCTATGGATACAGTATAGGCCTATATTGATTTGGCTAGCAAACTTAATGTAAGTCTGCCAATTATTAAGATTATTTTGCCCGCGTCGCACGTCATGTCATCAGTAAACGTAGGCCTAATTGTTGAAATACGACAAAAAAAAAGAATGATTAAGGCAGTTGACAATGGTTACTGAAAAAAGGTGAAATCGCCAAGGAATTTGGAACTCCACCTAACATTTTATCGACGATTTTGAAAAATTATGCGGCTGAAGGGGGATTACCTAATCAATAAGAAAACGGTGGGTTTAAAGACGTAACGGATGACAGTATCGAGATAAAAACATTCTTAGCCTATATCAGCACTGATTTTGCAAAGAAAAGCCCATTCAGTATGCCATTTGTATTTATTTTGCTTCCACAAATATTTTTTACCCATCAGTATGTATATAGCTTGAGCTCGATTTATAGAGGTTTTGCACCTAAAAAGAGTTTTAAAGGTCGTGATGTAACATCACTGTATCTTGGTGTATGTTTCTTCAATTGGGTTTATTAGGTTGCCATTCAGGATTTCCCATAGCCTTTGGGTGTCCGTGTAAACCATACTAAATGTTATATAAAGTTTTCGTCTTATAGTAAAGTTAGAATAGGCCTACTTCTCTAGGCTTTCATTACTTCCAGGATAATAAGTTGCGTTGGGAGTGCCTCACTATCATCACCAGAATCAAGTATTTTGTCATTTACCAAACTTTCCATAATGTTTTACAGTTGACCCTATCCAATAAAATGGAACATTATATTTGATCAAAAATGCCAAATATTGCCTTTTTGCTTAAAAATAGGGCAGCATGCAAATAAAACAAATAAAGTATGTTTATTAAAAAAAAATAACTGATTGCTAACATTGTTTTCATGTTCATACTACATCATATCATGTCATTTTGAAATATCCCCTATTAAATTTTTAACAGGTTATAGCAGGAAAACTAAACTCAGCACACCTTTATAAAAAAAGAGAATTCACCTTTTGGCCAGTATTAAAATATTAATTTTTTAAAGTTAACTGGGGGTGTCCAGACTTAGTCTTGCTTGTTCATCTTAAATAATTAAAATGGCTGTCATTTTGATTAAGGGTGCGATATTGACCTCTGGTTTGCGCCATTCAATTTCTCTTGATAAACGCTTTAAAATGAGGGGTCACATGATAGGGGTTTACATTTGAAAATTTGGGGCTGCCCCCAAAATACCCCATTTTAGGGGCTGGGGCAAAGTTGTAACTTTAATCAAAAAGTGCAATTTCTTATGTTGTAAATATGTGCCGAGTTTGGTTTTCCTACTGCAACACGTTAAAAAGTTAACCGGGGGGTTCCAGACTTTTGCCCAACCCTGTATGTATGAATAATTGTACAATAATAAGGGAAATGTTTGGAGAGAAAATATAAAAAACCGGTAGGCTAAATTAAAAATTTCCTCGTTTTTTTTTAGAATAAGTAACCTGTTGTAGTTTGATTGTTTAAGGATACATTTTGACCAAATTAAGCAAATTTATCTTTTTATGTCCTACTAAGTTACAGTATTAACGTTTAACTAAAAACACACACACACACACACCCACACACACACACATACAGACTTGTAACCTTCTCTGCAGCAGCAAACTTTTAAGTGCTTATTACACCAAATGTTATTTATTTATAATATTTCTTATCCTACATTTTTTTGTTGAATTTATTTTTTTATATAATAAATCTGGCATTTTAAGGAAATATTTGAGTAAAAATCCAATCAGGTAAATAATGCAGCTGGGGTATTTACATTTTACAATGTTCAAATCATCATTTGTAATATTGTTCAAAATTTCAATCATTGATGCACAATTATTGTGTTCTCTCCTATCTCATATTTGATGGCTTTGATGACACTGCTCAACAGTTGTATTCAAACAATAATCTGTGCACATTAAAGAATATTGTTGATAACAATTTATTGTGATTTCTCCTCTAACTAGATTGATGATTTTCCTAATAAAATGTACCGGTATATCAAAACAATAATTTGTTGTCTTAAAAAGTACAATATCATTTATACACAAATATTATATTCCTCCCAAACATCTGCTGCTCTGATTCTCAGACTGAGTGAGTCACATTCCTCGCTAAGTGAGTCACTGACGTTTTGGGTTGGGTCACATTGTTTAGTCTAGGAATGACCGGAATGACTGATGCTGATATCAATATTTCAAGAAAGACCCTGTTGATTCAGTCTTCTCTCTCAAGCCTACAAACACATCTCTTGACTACAGCTTTCATGTTCCTGTTCACATATGACACTCACACATACAAACTAGATTATTTTTTAATTCTTTAAAAAAAATAATTTAGTTTTGTTTTCTTGAGTGTTACACTAATATTTTAACAACTGGTTCTATTTTAATAAGTTCATTGTAGTATATTGAGGGTTCGTTCACTATTTTGCTTTTAACATTTAGAAACTTAAAATTATCAATTAAATAAACATTGATAAAAAAATACCAGAAAATTTTCCTTATAATTGAATATTAGTGAATAACTGCCCCTAAAGGGAATTACCATTTGAGGCATGGTAAGACCTAAACCTAAACCCAGGAATGACTTTCTTTTTAATTTTAATATCCCCAGAAGCCAACAACACTATTATTTGAAATGTGTATACAGGGTGAGTTTTAATTGTCCCCCCCCCCACCCAACTTTTTTCTACATTTTTTCAATTATCAATCCCAGACCACTTCCAAACATTGTTGGGTAGTAAGTACTTCATTTTTACAAGGTGGTCATTTCCGGCCGCCATATTGGATGCAACATTTTTTTTTCAAATGTAAAGGTGGGGTTGTGACGCATTATTTCGAACTAGATTTTTACCCTGATTACAATGCCGCAAACTGTTTTTAAAAATCTTAATTCATTCTAAAGTTATGAGGGCTTTTTAAAACTTTATTTTAGCCCATTTTAACATTGTGCATTTACAAACTAAGACCATAATCTTAAAATAGTGCTAGATAAAGATAAGTATACACTACCAGTAATTGTCGACCTATTTTCACTTGGTTATGACTGATGTATTTTTTTTGCCGCCATCTTGGGTCCGCCATTTTGAAATGTGATAAATTATTTTAAATATGAAGGGGGTGTTGTGACCCATCATTTCGAACTACCTTTTTAAGCTAAACTCAAGGCCGCAATCAATTTTTTTTTATCAAGTTTTATTTATGAAATATTGCATTTTTTTTGTAAAAAATGTCAATATTTAAAAATCAAAAAATGAAAATGAAAAACGGATCATGGAATTAAGTTCAGCTTAAAAAAGTATGTTATTCATTGTGACCCTTGGTTGGAATATATAATTGATAAAATGGAAGAATTACCTTATCCAACCACAGTTGCTAGTATGACAACTAGTTTTGTTCCTTAGAACATCGTCAGGTCATTGTATGCAACCACATCATCAATGTATTAATACATTGTGGTATGTCAAAAGATTCTTTAAAACACTGTCAGAATCACAATAGTAAAAACTAGTCATGTTGATCAAATTATTAAAATTTAATAAAAAGTGATAAAACTGGTTAAAACTGTAAAGGCTGGCCAGCACTCTCTTATCACTGTCACTGACTAAATAAAACTGCAGTTTTATTAACTAAAAATAAAATGCAGTTGTGGACTAAAAATAAAGTTTTAAAAAACCCTTATAACTTTAGAATGAATTAAGATTTTTAAAAACAGTTTGCAGCATTGTAATCAGGGTAAAAATCTGGTTCGAAATAATGGGTCACAACCCCACCTTTACATTTGAAAAAAATTTTGCATCCAATATGGCGGCCGGAAATGACCACCTTGTCAAAATGAAGTACTTACTACTTAGTAAGCTCAGTGTGAGCTCAGGCTCAGTCGGAGGAGGGTGATATTTCGTGCGGGTGGAGAATTTTTCTTCTCAGTTTGTGTTGTGCAATCCGTTGTATCTGTCGTCTGTCAGCCACACCATTATTTTTACGTGTGTGTAGTGGATAGAGTGTGTATGCCTATTTTTCTTGTACCCCACTATAGTAGTTTTTGCATATAATGGTAAAATATGGCCTGTTTAGAGTGATTTGAATTAGTGATTGCTGGGTGAATAAGTGAAGGACTACCAGTGCTCAAAGGAAACATTGGCGTCCCTCATTGCGGAAGCTTCTTCGGTGGTTAAGGGTGATCTTACGTCCCACAAAAGCTTCAAATCATGTCCTATAATTTGATGAAGTCACTTCCTGCTGAGTTTTTTTATACACTTTTTTACGGAATAAGTGTTCTTTGTTGTTATTAAATACAAATTTCATAACAAACATTTCAGGTTTGTTTAAAAGATCTTTATTTTATTAAATCAACAAGGTTTACATTTTTACCAACAGGTGAGAGGGGCCCCAGCTATAGCTATTGTGGGTTGCCTAAGCCTTGCTGTGGAGTTGCAAAAAGAGTTACCAGTAGAGAAAAAGAGACTGCGACGAGAGATTGAAGGGAAACTCAACTATCTAGTGTCTGCCAGGCCAACAGCTGTCAACATGAAGACAGCTGCTGATCAGCTGATAAACCTGGTCAACGAGTTGGATAAAAATGATTCCGTCGACTCTGACCAAATGAAAGCCAAGTGAGTTGATCCATTTTAACAATAATAAGTTGTTAAAGGTTTTTTGTGGTAATGTGTATAGTGGTAAAACAGTTAAGACTCATAGTAGTGATAGAATCAGTGCTGTGACCTGTAATACTCACTCACAACACAGTATATTGTATTTTTTGTGAGATGGTGAATGTCCTGGATTCAGGTGTATAGGTTATGTTATGTTGAAGCTTAAATACAATCAATCACAAAAATCACTAATCTGTGCATCCAACTAATCTAGATATAGATATCACCTAGATTTGTGGTTAAAACAGTAGTTGGTAGCTCCCTTATAACCCAAATGTTTGTTGGAAACATTACGGTCATTTGTTGACGTTACACCTGCCAGACGTTTTGACTGGTACAACTGGTCCTATTAAATTAAATGCACTTACACAACTGCTAAATACAGCGCTTTGCAATTACCTGCCAAGTATCAGGCCCTAATAGTCCAACACGGTCAGCCAACTCTGTAGAACTGGTATTATAATCATGTTGTGGTAGGAGTAGGCCTATCAAGTCATATCTCTGCAGTTTTTCATCATAAACACTTAGGCTACTAGAAGTTCATTTCTGTGTTTTGTTTTATTGTATGTCTGTTCAACATATGAAAAAAAATAGTACTAGAGGTCACTTCTAACTAACGTTGAAGATCATACAGTCCAGGCTCTGTAGGAACTAGTTATATTGTTAGGTGTTACGAATGTCGACTGCAGCTGTTAAAAGACCAGAAGCCAATTATAACTTTTTAGGTATTTAAAACTATTCCAGAAAAGGCTGTTACAATCAGTTTCAGAATAAAAAAATAAAATTATATAGGATTGAGGTATACAGCAATAAACTAAATTAAATTGTGTTTTGCACTCAATACAAATTTATTTCAGCGAATTTCCCGTATAAGAAATAAGTTATTCTCATAATAATAAGTTAGTCTCATGGTATGACCTAGACCCAGAACCGGTTTACTTTTTTGTTTTGATGTCACTGGATGTTAAAAACACCATCCATCCAAGTTCAATTATTTTTATATAAATGTACACGGATTATGTGTCTGATAGCATGAAACTTGAGTAAAAATGATCCGTTTCCATGAAATTTGGTATAGACGTGTATAGGCTACCTATCCACAATTTTAAACAAGTTTGGAAACCAGCATGATCAAAATGTGCAATCAGGGTTTAATGGGGTAAAAATAGGGTTTTCTTATTTTTGCCCCTCAAAACATAGAATTTATCTATAAACTATTTGGTAGAGCTTTATAAAACAAATAATTTAGTGTAGGTATAGAAGTGTTTTTCTACGGTTATTGTCCAAGGAGAAAATTGAACTAACTAAATTGTAAATTTTAAATTTTCCATGTTCTTCTTATGAAGGATAAGTAAGCTGTTGTCGCCGGTTTGTTTATGGATATATTTTTATTAAACTTGGCAAATTCATTTATTAACTAAGTCAAGTAACCTTGCCTTGATTAACTCTGCTAAATTATTAGGATTTTACTAAAAACACAATTTATTGCCCTCCCTGTACCAGCAAACCTGAGTAGGCCTACTTGTTAAATTTAATGTTATTTACATAGGAAATAAATCTGACATGTTTAAGGAAATATTTAAGAGAAAACCCGCTCTAGCAAATGTAAATTCGCTTAGTCTGCAGGTTTGCTGTGGTGGGGTTATTTATACATAGTTCAACTGATAAAGTCAAAGTCCGAGTCTCAATAGTAGAAGAGGACGAAGTAAGACATCAAGAGTATACTTGTCTGTCTTAGCTTATAATTTGATTTATTATTTTTTTTGTAATCCAGTGTTTTTTGGAAATTGTAGGTAGGCCTATTGGATTATTGAGAGTCAACTGTATTGTATAACCTTGTTCAACCATTACTCTTTTAACCTTTAATCTCACTATCAGTCACCATGGACTTTTTATACTCTGCTAGTTTGTGTGATATTGGAGCTATAATAAGGCCTAGATATGTATACTTTTCTAAAAAAAAACACCATTACTGATTAAACAACTTTGACTTTGCGCTGTAACTTTCCCTAAATCTGCCTCTTATCGTTTTATTTTCATTCAGCTCAATTCTATCTCCAATTTCAGCCATGGTCTTATCAATTTTGTTCCCACAGATTATTTTAAACTATAGAACCATTTTTTACTTTTACATTTTTTTTACAAAAAAGTTGCTTTAAAACAAGAAATAAGAGCTTTGGTCAATTAATGCTGTGTAAAACCTTGAAAAGTTGCACAATCATTAGGCCTGTTTAGTTTCTACTAATTACCTTTTCTATCATTTTTAGAGGGTCCATTGTAAAAGTATTATATATTAAACATAAAAGATTACCAAACATATTACAATAGTTGAAATCTTATGGTTACAGTTGAATTGGTTACTTATTTAACAAGCCGTTATAATCTAACTCTATTTTTAATATTTGAATCAATTAGTTCTGCAACAATTTAGGATGAATTTACTTAAAATCTCCCTTCTTTTATGACTTCTTTTTACCAACCTGATCGTAAATAAAATGTTATTTTATTCTTTAATTAGAATTGTGGCAGTTCAAGTTTTATAAGTTATTAATAAGGCAGTTAAATTTATTGTTTTAAATAGTAACATTGTGCTAATGTATGGTATTTTGTTGCTTTTAAGATTCATAGAGGCCATAGAAGAAATGCCCAAGAAAGATCTGGCGGATAACAGAGCCATCGGAGAGGCGGGGGCAGACGCCATCTTGGCGCAGCAGACCAACGACGGTCTAGTGCGAGTATTGACACACTGCAACACCGGATCGCTCGCTACATCGGCTTTTGGAACTGCTCTGGGAGTCATACGCTCCCTGCATGCACGTGATAAGATTGGTAAGTTCAATGTCAGAGGAGGGAGAGGTGGTCGTAATGGAGATGATTTAAACCGTAATGGTTTATACTACTTTGCTATGTTAAATGATCCTAGGTTAATACACTACTATAGTTTCAGACTCATTGAGTCCATCTTTAGGTGTAACAAAAACATATAGTCATCCATCCAATTTGGTCAGATCCGTCAAAACCATTGGAAAACAGACATTACACGAAAATGCAACCGAAATGCAAAAAAGAAAACCAGTAAACATTTAAAATACTGGTCGGTACAATCATGACATGCGGTGATGCTGGAAGATGAGTGTATTTTACAGATTTTTACTTTTAATTATTAGAGATATATTTATCATTGTTGTTTTTTTTTAAATTGTTATTAATTGCTCGAGAGATAGCCAAATACTGCATGATACTGATTCAAATCGTTAAAACTGTATAGGTAATATTTAACTAACAATATTTTGAATTGAAGAAAAAGGAGGATAGCAGCTAGCTTACCTTGAAGAAGAGTAGGTAGGCCATAGAGCATAGGCTACAGAAGAGACGCTGTGCACACAATATTTCGTCCCCTGAGGGACTTTTCCAAACCAGAGAAAGTATTAAGAGTTTACAAAATGTCTGCTGAATAGCCTGAAAACAGCCATGAGACATGACAGCAGGGTTTTTTTAGAATTAGTTTATATGATAGAATTTGTTTCTAAATAAGAATGTTACTAGTTTTATAAGATAAATACAAAAATAGCTTTTAGCGATTTTACCACATAGGGAATAAGCTGTTACCATAGGTCCTACGTTTATTCGAACGAGTTCGCAAAACAGCATGATCGGACTATGGTTACAGGGGTTTATGGGGTAAAAACTAGGTTTTTCCATTTTTTACCCTAAAAATACAATTTTGCAATTTCATTTTATAAAACTTTAAAAAAAATTAAGTAGGAAGCATTCTTGATGGTTACGGAGAAAAAAAAAAAACTTTTCTAGTTTGGTATTTTATGGATATATTTTGATTGAATTTGGCAAATTTGTTTATTTAATAATACCAAGCTATCAACATTTCAGCAAAAAAAAACCTCATTACCTTCCCTGTAGCAGCAAATTTAAGTACTCATTCAAATTAATGTCATTTATATAGGAAACAAAGGTGACAATTTTAAGGAAATATTTCTGTGGAAATCCAACCAGGCAAATGGGAATTCTCTTAGTCTGCAGGTTTGCTGTGGCGGGGGTATTTTGTATGGTACTGTAATAATAGTATATTACCTTACTAGCCCAGTAAGTGGTGTTTTACCGTGTGAGCACTACAGCCTCGCGTGGGATTTTCTTTAGAGCTTACCGGGCAACGTACGATACTTTACATCATAATACACAGAATAATTAGTACATTTTAAACGCATAACACAATTTATTTAGGACATAACAAAAATTATAATATTTTTATATTACAGAAAATAAAATAGGCCGTCGCAGTTAGCTGTTTATTTCTAAGTGCACGGTAAAAGCTGCTGTGCACGGTACATAACATAACGTTACTTTTCTGTGTTTAGGCACAGTAAATGTCAACTTTCCAGCCTATCAATACGGATGGAAAAATACCTGTTTCTGTGTAGTATGATGTAATATACATTTTTGAGATCCATTTGCTGGCTTTTTATTGGGTTAACATTTTTTTTTGGGGGGTAACATTACAATAACTTCTGCAAAATAGTCATTTACTGAGCACTAATTGATGTTGACAGAACATGTTTACTGCACCGAGACTCGTCCATACAACCAAGGTGCTCGACTGACCGCGTACGAACTCGTTCATGAGAAGATTCCATCGACCCTGATTTGTGATAGTGCAGTGGCAGCATTGATGCGTACACGTCGCATCTCTGCAGTTGTGGTTGGCGCAGACAGGGTTGCTGCAAATGGTGACACTGCCAACAAGATCGGTACTTACCAGGTACTGAAGTAACAAGCCCTTCATCTCAGTACATGCATTATTGAAATTACTATGGAATTCCAGGGTTCCCACTCAAAAAAAAACCCTCAGTGAAAACCTTAAAACTGTGCATTAGCCGTGAATTAGGTCAACCGTGAAAAAACCTTTATTTAGCCGTGAATTTGTTTTTGAAACCTTAAAACCCCAAATATGTCGCCTGGAGAACACACAAGCGGCGAGTCGAGTGAAACTGAATGAAGTAATATCGAGATTGTTGTGTGTGTGTGTGTGAGACAGAGTGAGAGGGAGAGAGAAAGAGAGAGGTGCTTGGCGGAAGCCCAGCGGTCCCTCCACAACCCCTGGTTTAAGTCAAGAGACTTATTCACCAGGCCGCTTTCCTGATAAATCTTTAGATTCCTCTTCCTGCTGTCAACTTCAATCTATGTCCTTCCAGGCATATTCTGTGCCTAACCAACACCTCTCCCCTCACCTAGTACCCTCTGTACTAGGATCATCAGATTTTTTTTTCAATCTTCTTAATTTGATCTTTCTTTCCTAACACTTTCCATTTCAAATCCCAGCCTGTCTTCCTGCATTTTCAAATTCATGCTTTTTCTTTCCCATCCTTCGGCACATTCTCCCAAACTCCAACGAAGATTCTTAGTTCTAAAGAAGTTGATCGTCTCCCAAGCCCATCTCTTTTGTTGGAGGAATTCCCTCTTGTCGCTTCATCTTCTTCGTAGAATGGACACTTCATCAGTACGTGTTGCGATGTCTTTAGCTCTCCGCAATGAGTGCAACGATAGTCTTCGACAAGGTTGAAGCTTTTCAGCTTGGCATTGAATTTGCCGTGTCCGCTGACGAACTGTGTCGTGTAGTGATCCGCTTCCTAATGCACTTTCTTCCTGAACCTCACATCCGGAACAAATGCAAAGGTTTCGCCTTCCTTCTGTGCTTAACACTCACCGTCTCTGCCAGTCAACGAGTGTTTCTTCTCTTCCTTATGCTATCCTTGATGTCGACACCTTCTCCTTTGTCCCTTCGTCTCTTAATCCTTTCCTCAACCATCAAGTCTAGCGGGATTACCCCGGTAATCACTCAAGCAGCTTCGTGGGATATCGTGCTATAGGCCTTTATCAACCCAACAACAGTTTTCTCTGCAGACTCATGAACTTAGACTTCTCACCTTGTCCACTCATTCGTTGACCCCACATTGGTACAGCACTAACACAGTCGTATAGCATTATTGGCTCAAACGCACCGATGTACAATCTTCTCAAGTTCTCGCATATCATGCCGTTGTTTGCCTTGGCCAGTTAAAGCTCTATTCATAAGGTCAGTTATGGTTCCGTGGATCTTTCCAACCACAAGGATTGCAACATCATCAGCATCAGCGTAACCTAAGGTGAAAACCCCACTTTCATTTAGGGTCCTTATAAGGTCGTCTGCTACCAAATTCCAAAGGAGGGGAGAGATAACCCCACCCTGGGGGCACCTCGAGTAGTTCTTGCCTCGATCATGTCATTATGGAGTGAGAGCCTGATCTTCCTACTGTGAAGCAAGGATTCAATCCATCTACATATGATACCGTGAAATCCTCTAGCTCTCACCGCATTAAGAATTGCTGGGGTGCCAGTGTTATCAAAAGCACCCTGAATATTGAGAAAGGCAACCAGGGCCACTTCACTGCTCTCTAGAGCCTTCTCAATCTTGCTTACAAGTTGGTGCAGCGCGGTCTCGCATGATCTTCCTGAGACCTATGCATGCTGGTTGTTATGAATAGGATTTGTCCTGAGAGCTGTATCCATAATATATCTTGAGACCAACTTTTCTAGGATCTTAAGGAAGAAAGAAGATAGAGAAATAGGTCTAAATGACTTAGGATCATTGTCGTATTAATCGGCTACAAAACCTTACTTGTGTACTGGTTAGAAAAGGCATTACATAAAGTTTTGTCATTAATTTACTAACATTTGTTTGGAGACCGTGAAATTTATAAAAGAGACTGTGAAAACACCATGAATTTTGTTGAAGACAAATAGTGGGAACTCTGAATTCCGCAGTGTTTGGGTTTGTTGAGGAAAAACACAACTGTCAAAATCAATAATACAGTATATACTAAAAATCGAATCAGTATAAAATGATAGTGAATTTAAATTTTTCTAATGATTATAAAATACCCTCTTAGGAGGCTATACCAGGATAAAGTGAATTTTGTAAAAAAATATTTTAAAGTACGGTATAACCCCTTTTAACACCCTGTTAAACTGAAACGTTGGTTAATGAAACCATCATAAGCAGTTCAAACCAATCAAAAGATTAGCAAGCCAATCAGAATTGTTCAATGTGGCGTGGATTAATTAGTATGTCATAAATATGTTAGCCTGGCTTGGTCAAGGGAATATAATGGAGCAGACAAAGACAGAGATCTCATACCTTGATAAAGATTAAGTTCAGAAAACAACAGTCCATTATTTTAACTTTTTAAGAAATGTTTTATGTGTACAGTTGTAGATTTCAAGATTACATTAATTAAAACAATCTAAAAAACTGTTGGAAATTTTGCGATCTTAGTGGCCAAGAATACCATAGTTATTTATATATCATAAGAAACTAGATTTTTATCTGAAAACAATGATGCAAAAAATTTTTATGTTGTCACAAAAACTTAATAAACTACGGTCGTTTGAATTTTATTACTGTAATACCTCTTGTCTGCTTGTCTCTGTCGCCATTACTGTGAATTGACTAACACAAACATGAACGATTGGAAGGATCGTCTAGGGAAGAAGAAGAAACCTAAGATGACAGACATTAAGTTTATACTAAGAGAACAAAGAGGTAGAGGCATTTGTAAATTCAACTGAACTTTAATTATGAACTACCAGTACCGGTACTTAATCAGTTCTTATTTAGATGTGAGGTAGGTAGGTTGGGTGTTATGCGGATATAAATCCAATTTTAAGCTGTTCGAGAAGTTTGGTTGGGTTAGGTTAGGTTAGAATAGTATCATTTTGTTGTTTATTCATTTTATAAAAACTGCCACTACACTATTATCATAATGGGACATAACGGTTACATGGTCAAAACCTAAGCTAAGCCACTCGGTGAAGTGAAGAGAAGAACAAATCAATTCCTTCTTCATTTTTCATAATCCAATCCAGTCCAAATTAAATTTGTCCGACCTAGAGGTGTTTATTAATCTTAATTACATTTTAATTAAGTATTTAATTTAGCCTACTTAAATTAACGTATTTACCTGTCTAATTGTGGGTTGTGACTTCTGAGGGTAATATATTTTCTTTAAAATGGCATGTAATCAATTAATAATTTGACTTAGGCTATTAACTTTGATTTTACAGTGTAAATATTGAAGTGCAAACTCAACGTTCCTATTACAATATTAAAATAAAATTCAAATGATTGTAGTTTATTCAGTTTTTGTGACAGCAGAAAATTTATTGTTTTCAGGTTAAAATATAGTTTCTAATGATATATAAATTACTATGGTACTCTTGGTCACCATAATCGCAACAATTACCAAACTGTTTTTGTAGACTTCTTTGAATTGAAAAATCATTTAAATTCCAAACAATGGTTATCTGAAACAGCCTGGCTCCTTGATTTGAGTTGGCCAGGGTTTTACAGTTAGTAATGATGGGACAGCTATGCAAAAAAATAGGTTAAATTAAATAGGTTTTGATTTGTTTAGATAGCGGTAGTTGCTAACCGACATGGAGTGCCGTTTTACGTAGCTGCACCATTGACAACAATAGACTTCTCAATAGCCAGTGGCAAGCAGATTGTCATTGAAGAGCGCCCTGAGAAGGAAATGACTCATGTAAATGGCATGAGGATAGCTGCTCCAGGTTCGTTTAACAAATTCCTGCCTGTTTATTCAGTAGGCTTTTATATTTTTGTCTTTTCCATACAAACTTGCCATCGAATAACCCAACAGATTTGATTTATTGGCAAATCATAGACATTTTTACAAATTTTCAGAATGTAACTGTAATTTCCACATAACCGAACACCAGTGTGCGCAAGTGACTCTCAGGTCATGTGAGTCAACCAAAACTACACCTGACATCCAAAGTGGTAGTCTGTAGCCCAGTCAGAATCATAACTTTCAATTTTAAGGGGAAAAGTAACTCATGTATTTTTTCAACTACAAAGTGGCCAGAGACCGGGAAATATGTGTGGATTTGTTGCAATTGGAAAAAATAAGGAACTTAATGTGAATTTTTAAATTTCATTGGGAAAACTTGGTTTTAGTACCTTTTAGTCTGTTGTTTTGTTGTGTGGATTTATGAAAAATGTAGAAATGTTTAATATCCAGCGACTTATTGTGTTTATTTGTGTGAACACTCATGAAACATTTCTTAAGTGTATGACTGTAAGTCTGCGGTCACGTCAAGGTCGTGAACATTACCAGTAATTGTGATGAAATCGCCGATTTTTGATCAGACATCTTTGCAAACGCTTAACCTGATCGCGAAGATATACGCTTGGCTTGGCTTGACTCGACATGAGCTTAGCCTGATAATCATTTTTGACCCAAACTGATCCCTCAGGCCAACTGTTGGTCGAACCCTACCAAAAAATGGGGATCCCTTGCATAAAGGTACTCTCGGCAACTGGGAATCACAACCGAATAAGCAAGGTTTGGCTACCTCTACCAGGACCACCACTAGGTTAATGAGTGAATTTGTATACAAGTTATCTGGCCACCCTGAACAAGTTAAATCTATATATTTCAATATTATGGTGATGTAAAAATATATAGAAAGGGAAATTTAAGGGAAATGTATGATTGTTTTAAGTTTTTACTTTTGACTCTTTTTCCTGAAAACCCCCAAACTCATCACTCTTCGGGTCCACATTACACCAAGCTCAATGATTTTCTTTGTTGGCAGGTGTGACTTGCTGGAATCCTGCCTTTGATGTAACCCCAGCGGAACTCATCACCGGAATAGTAACTGAGAAAGGAGTCTTCAGTCCAAGCGATCTCATCGACAAACTCCAGAACTCTGCTGGTTAGCTTCCCCAAGGTGACCAGGAGATGCTGAACTCAGTTTTTATAGTGATCTTCACTGTTGCTTGATGAAGAAGAGGATTCGGGTAAAATAGTCTATTCCACACAACACTTCCCGAATATGTTGATGATTTATGATGGACATGCATTTGCCTTGAAGTAGTCTACATACTTGTATGTTGTCTACTAACATTGACTATGGTTAGCAAAATTATGTGTCTCATAAATGTGGAAGGAATGCACGTAACTCTCGATAGTCAGTTATGTATTGGGTCTACAAGATCATTATTGCTAGATGACTCAGTGCAGGGATACATTTTGTTAATCGTTAGATTGAGTTTATGTAATTCTGCTCAATTAACCTAAAGGATGGTGACATCTAGTTTTTATTCCATTATCAGTTATTTTGTGTTCTAAATAATGATAAGAATGTTTTAAGTAAAATGTGTATATCATTAGGGTTGGGCAAGTATTCTGAGATTTTATTAATTTGAGTGTTAAATCTAAATATTTAGATTAACATTAACAAATTATGTTTGCAGTTCCTACATTCAAGGCAGCAATGTACCAAAAACAAGTATATTCTTTCTGGACACATTATTCAACCTCTATTATACAGGGTGTTTTTTTAACGCACAGGCACAACTCATATACAAGTACTGTGAGACACATTTAAATGACAAAACAACCTTATATTTTGGTATCCCTGTTTTGTTACTTCATTGCCAATCAGCTGATATGCGTTTTTGTAGTTATTTATGAGGCTTAATGTTATTGAAAATTTATTGTAAATAAGACACAACATAGCTTTTCCACAATCTCTATGAGAATAATACTTTGAAAGTCAATCATTGGTTTTATGCCAAGAAAGGTTTGAAATTAAATTTCCAGGTGTGATTCCAGTACCTTATAAATCAGCTATTATTTAAATATACAAATTTATGGAAACCGAATTTGAATTTAGGGAAAACTGAAATCTCTAGATTTAAACAAAATCAAATAAGGAAATGGAAATTCGCTTGGTCTGCAAGTATGCGTTGCCAGGGTATATTTCTTTTACTACAGATTGGGTTTCCTTAAATTTGTACTATTATGGACATGTAAGGGCCCAGAAAATGGCAGTTTTATAGGCTGAAACAGGTTTTGTTCTTTACCCATTACTAACAAAAATATGGTGGCAAATCTTGCTCTCTTTGCATTGATTAAATAAACAGGAATGTGGTTTTAATTTCAAATTATTTTTCAGTCCAGTAGGCAATTAAAAAAAAAATTGTGGATAGTTTGGTTCTATTTAACCAACTTTCAAATTGAACTAGCCTACCTACAGACATATAACCTAAATCATAGCGCTAATGTAAAGAAGATTAAAAATTCAAATAATTTTCAAATAATAATAAGACCCGAAGAATTTGATAAATTATTTGACAACAATTGATCAACACCAAGAAATTGATTTGTCTGGTGCTCTTTAACTTTCATTTCTTTGCACTGACAAACACTATCAGTTGTATGTATATCGCTCAACATCTCTCGTTATTTCATTAATTGATGTAATTCACAACTGATAGTCAGTAACTGACAATTGTTTTTATCCGAATACTTGACCTCCCTTTAATTTTATAAGTTTTGTTTCAAAACCTTATTGTCAAATACTGGCAATGATGTAAGACGTACTTACATATTTAGTCAAATGAAAAGCTCAAATCATATTTTCGTATCTCTCAAATTTACATTTATTTCATATCTCTCGTTTTCATTAATTGATCTAATTCACAACTGATAGTCAGTAACTGACAATTGTTTTTATCCAAATACTTGACCTCCCTTAATTTTTTAAGTTTCATTCCAAAACCTTATTGTCAAATACTGACAATGATGTAAGACGTACTTACATATTTAGTCAAATGAAAAGCTCAAATCCTATTTTCATATCTCTCAAATTGAAATTTATTTCATATCTCTCGTTATATCATTAATTGATGTAATTCACAACTGATAGTCAGTAACTGACAATTGTTTTTATCCACAGAGCATAGAATAAATATAGAGTCGCCACTCCTATACCTACAGATATACCAGTAGTGAAGCCGATTTCCGCCATCTTGGTAGTAGAGTTGGTCTCGGAACTTTGAAAACACGGTGTCATTACCACTGTGTTATTCTATACTACTTTATGAATTAGATGAAGCTAACGCTCCGAGGATACATATAGAACTATCCCCCCTTCGATATTGACCTAAGACTCTGCCCCGCGGGCTTTCAAAGTTCTGAGGTGAGAGTTTTAAAAGTAAATACTGATTGGTGGTTTCCATGGTAACAATATAATGGTTTAAATGTTACAAATGCAGACCGGGCCGGCCGCCATCTTGGTACGAGAAGCCTGCCTCACTCCAGATGGCAAGTGCCGCCTCTATATTTATTCTATGCTCTGTGTTTTTATCCAAATACTTGACCTCCCTTAATTTTTTAAGTTTTATTCCAAAACCTTATTGTCAAATACTGACAATGATGTAAGACGTACTTACATATTTAGTCAAATGAAAAGCTCAAATCATATTTTTAATGTTAAAGAATGGTTAGAATACTGTAGCTGTAAGTAGAAAAGACGCCTGATTTCAGGAAAATTTTGGATACTGATTGTTTTGTACATTTCTTGAATAATGTATTTCTAAAACATAATTTTCACCACGTTTTTATACTATTATGATAGTTACTGTTTATGGATAGAAACTCACAAAGTTGCTAGACTTACACCTAATACATCTTATTTACTGTTAAAAATTAGACTGAATTGCATAACACAATACGTATCTGTCGATATTTTTAAATCGCTATTTAAGAGGTGCTACTTTCATTATTTTTATATTGAAAAATTGAAATAATTAATTCTCATTATTATTACTAAACTTTAAATTTACAAGATATACTTAAAAATTATTTAAACTGATCCCCATAGTCAGGTTTATTGTTTGCTCAAATATAAATTAATACAAAAGAATATCATATTCTATATTCGTGACACCCAACACCGATGAATTCTTGGGTAATGAAATAGGTGATTTTGAGGGAAAATATATTATTTCATTGCTGCTGTCAAGCACAGTTTTTTAGTGAATTTCCCTAGAGGGAAGTAGGTATTACCGTAGGTGGCACGGTAAGACCTAGCTAGACCCGGGACTGATATATTTTTTCTTTTCATTTTGATGTCCCTAGAGAGAGACCAAATTCATTCAAATGTTTATATAAGTATATGTGTGTGAACGTGATAACTTGAAGTAATTTTTGTCTGATTTTTATGAAATTTGGCTTGAAGATGTAGGGTGGGATGAACTCGAATGAGTTCGCAAACCAGCATGATCGGACCATGGGAACGTATGGGGGGTTTTATGGGGGGGGGGAAATAGTTTTTTCTCATTTTTGACTCCTCAAAACACCCAATTTTCCAATTTCTCTTTAAACCATTTTCTAAAGCGCACAACTTCATAATTTATCCATACTATAATCATCCATACTCATTTTTATACCTTCATAACCATATCCATACTGTTTCAATGGATCAAAATTATCAAATATATTCATCTTTAGATGATAATTTGTACTGTGTTTGTTATTTCGTCAGGTATATTGATGATGTCACAAAAAATATTGTAAACAGATGTCTACAAAAACATATTTTTGTAACAGTACAAAAATTGTCTCAAAAAGTGTTTGTAGACATATGGTATATTTTGTCTCTGTGTTCCTTGAAACAAGTGTTATAATGGTATATGCCAGACCATTTCAAAATAGCTGAAACAGATTCTTCTTTACCCATTATAACAACAAAAATACAGGCAGGATCAAAACATCGTAACTAGTGATGGTAAAAACCTGAAATTTTGAATCTCAAAACCAAAACTTAAAAAATCAAATCCCGAATCTTGAATCTCAAAACTGAAACATGAATCTTTTTTAGTTTCCTCTTAAGGTTAAAAAAATACAGGTTACGATAAAATGTTTATTATGCAATCAAAACTAAAAGAGATTGATTCCTGACCCTGACATAATAACATAAATATGTGACTGATAAACATTGAACCCAAATCAACATATTTTTTAAAAACAACCAACCTTAAAATAAATTAAACTCATGACACCACCATAAATATAAATATGAAATTAGTTAGAACATTTATTTTAATGGTCGATATTTCTTTGTGTTTAAAAATTTTGATATGAAACTGAATTGTACGTTCTTCCCGTAATAGTATTTAAGATGCCTTTTGCAGGTCAGAATACAATTCACTTGTTTCATTAAAGTTAATGGTGATCTGTTTGCTCCATTGCTGCCAGCTTGTGTGTAAAAAGTGTTATACAATAATAATGACACAAAAATATGTCAGCAGATTCAGAAATAAAACTGCCAAAATCTTTAATTTCAAAACTTTTGAATCTCGAAACTCGCCATTTGAATCTCGTAACCGAAATCTTTTCAAAGTTTTGATTGTTTTGAGATTTGGTTTTGACATATCACTAATCCTTCTAAAGGAAAATTCAGCTACTTCTCATTAATTTAACTAATGCCTAAAATTTTATCTACTAAACAAATATTGTTTTCAATATGATTATTGTAACTCTACCATTCTACATTGGGTATATTATTCCCTACTTTGTGCTGCAATATTGAAAACAGTTGCATTGTGTACTAAATTCTAGCCCTCCTTCAGATTTTCATTTTACATTTTCAACCATTACATTTTATGAGTACTTGTACAATTGGTTTTCTTGTGATAGTTCACTTTCAAAGTTGTATTTTAATTACATGTACATCCAGGTGTAAATGTATTTTGAGTTTAGTTAATCTAAACAAAAATTATTGTGCCAAGGATTACAAATCCATACTAGCGATTCTTTATTAAAAATATTATTTCATCTTATAAACTGTTCTTGATCCATTGAAAACTTTTTAATCCCGACTGTCATAATGTCTGATGTGAAATTGCAAAGTGCCTCATAAAAAGTAAAGAATATTAAATATTACCATTGACTATATTACTAATCAGTTGTTCTTCATGTAAAACATGTTTTTGTACTATAGTGTATTTCTTGGTTATTGATCTCTATTGGTTATTCTATTTTTTTAATTTTTCAGAGAAAGCTAAGCAAAGCATTAATTTATTTTTGTAAAAGTCCCTCAAAATACTGACGCTGGCGTCTGAACTTTAGTTTGCTCAGTTATTTATTATCTAGCTAACCTATCCCACAAGTTTGTTGGTGTTCATTTGTGTTTTTCAGGGTGACATATTTATATGTTTTCATTGTCGTGGCCATTGTATGTTTTTATAGAGGTTAAAGTTAAAAATATTTGTTGTGCCCTCCTTAATTTGGTTAGTTTTACAAAATGTTTTCACTGTAAGATTTTCCATGATTAAATTGTAGTTCGTAGAACCTCGATAATCCAGCTTAAACGGGCTGCCCGTTGGTAAGATTTAGGAAAAAAACCAGACCATCAGAAGACTATTAGAATTGGAGAATTAGAGTGAGATAGCCATAGTTTGAGAATTGCAGTGATGATCTTTTATTAGCGGCTGGTGAGTGCATGTATGTGAGTTCCGTGTTTCATCCCTACTTCTTGGCCTTTAATTGTGGTGCAGTTCGGCATTGTGCATGATTACTTTCTGTTTTAAGATACCGTAATGGGATCTTAGGAACAGTAATTATTAATGAAATGTAATTTCATACTAAAGTAAGTACAATAGAGAAATGTTCTAAATTGTACTGTGCTTTTATAGGAAATTACATACTTACTATTTCTTTTAAGCTAGGCCAATGATTTTAGGGATGGGATCAAGCCGGACTACTAGAGGGTCTGGATTATTGAAGTTCTACTGTACTTCCTTAAGTTTATAAATTATGTAAAATTCGTTTTGATTAAGTTAATTTGCCTATCTTTTTGACGAGTTTATTAAGAGCTTATCATAAGGTTTCATATTGTTACCATCTCCAATTTTATTTAGCTCTCAATGTATTCTTCTAAATAAAAAGACAAAACTAGTTGAAACCTATTGACTTATAAAAATTGTTGTTTACGATTGAACTAATAATAAAGCGTTAGTCAATTATTAAATATCTATGATATTATAGGCTTCTTATTAACTTTATATTACTGTGTTCATATTACAAATTTTACTATATTTTATATATCAGATATATTATTACTTGGTGTATGCAGTATACACTGTACTGTTGTCTCTCAATATAAATGCTTTACATACAATGTGTCTGTTTTACCCCTGTTATTTGTATCACAAATCTCATGTTTTTTAAATATAAAAAAATCAATCATTTTACAATGGATTGAACTAGAAATTCTATTCCTATGATACAGTTCCAGCCCTTTTTTGAATGAAAATGAATGCAATTGAACTAATTCATGAAAGAGAGTAAAAAATACAGATCTCTGAAAAAAATTAACTGATAGATTTAACTATAGCATCTATTGTGTGACATAAACTATTACTGTACAAAAAACTAAGGGTGGAAAATGTGAAAATAGAATTTTAGATAGAAAAAAACTCAGCGCTGGCTCATTCACCTGTTAATGATGTGGAAGGTCTACTATACACTGAAAACAGACCTGCTGGCATAGTATATTCATTGTTGTAGCCCCGGAACTGTAATATATAAAATATTTGGTTCAATACCTTTATCAGTTCCAAATGTAACCTTCGTCAACGTGTTACATGTTTCGGCGAGCTGCCATTGTCAAACACTTCAATACACTCCGAGAACAGACACACAAAAATCAACTTTTGCCAAACACCTTATTGGCTGTAGTCACGATATGAATGACATTAACACCGGTCTGCAAATACTACATTACTGTCAAAAGGGAAATAAAATGGACGTCTTGGAGGAGTTTGAAATATACAAATCAATAAAACATCTGGATTCCAACAACCATATCCTGAATGACAAACTCCAGTTTAAGTCAAATATAATTTTTAACACGCTACTGCAACAAGGAAACAAATCTTATCAGCTGACCACAACAGATAACGAAGATAATTCAACCAGATAGCGCTGACTTGAACCCTCCACCGACAGTCTGTTCCCGCTCGTGTTCCGGCAATGTCACATATTCATGATAGGCCTATCAAACTACAAGTATTTATTTTTATGTCGTACGTGTTGTATGTAAATGCTGTATGTCATGTAATGTGTTGTGAGAACGAAGCTATTCAAGCGGATCTACACATATTCCTATATTGAAGTGTTTGACAATAGCAGCTCGCCGAAACATGTAACACGTTGACGAAGGTTACATTTGGAACTGATAAAGGTATTGTAAAATCAAATATTTTATTGTATATTAGTCAGACTATATTCACGTATTCACATCAGCTTGGTGGTTCAACTCAATTACGTCCATTTTGATTCAGTAACTAGCTACAACTTTAACGTGGGGATTGAATGTCCAGTCCTATAAATTATTCAATAGTAAAAGCTAGTACCTACATCTACAGCCTAGTTTAAATAGTTGGGTGATTAGAGAGTATTTGCAGCAGGTCCTGGATAATCCTGATCCCCCCAGAGAACACTCCAATATTTTGGTTTGGCGCTGAATATCCCTAAACAATACAGTAATAATATACCTTCAATTTTATCTAGGACTATTAGGGAATTGTACTGCAAACAAATTATGATTACAGAAGGAAATAATGGTTTTCTACTTGTGACCAATCGTACAAGTTTTTGAAAACGTACATAATGACAAACTTGATAGTTAACATATATTTTTCACTTTAATCATCCCTATATCACATGATAAATATCACAAGGGTTCCTAAGAGTCCCTGAAAACCCCAAATTTCTTATGGTAATGGCTGTAGACAAACATTTTACCAAAGCAGCAGACTCCTTGGGCCACCATACAACCGAACCGTCACGGAACAGTCGGACTACAGATACGTACAACCAGTACAGGAGTCTAGGCTGTTGTAGCCCTCGTGTTAAGCCCACCATAATAAAACCATGCTGTAGGTCTGCATGCCATAAAAGGATAAAAGACCACTTGCCTCAGTCATAAAGGTATGGTCCCAAGTAAAGTGATGAGTCCAGTATTACTCCAAAAACTTCCCAGACATATTATCACAACTAGGGTGTTTGGGAGGGGTTTGAGGGAGGAGCTAGCAATACTATGCAATTGTGTCATTTTGAGTCTTTCATACACATTTCTGTTAGTTTAATTAATTTGGCTGGCAAACCATGCTTTTTTAAACTTTTCCACAAGCTTATGCTGTCGTATGCTTTTTTGGAATCTATAAATATTACACTAACATTCTTGTCCTTGTCCTAGACGGGCTAGGGAGTTGAGATTTAGCACGATGACGGGTCTCGGTCCCAAATCTCCAGGGAAATTCCCTAAAGTGACAGTTTCGTATTTCAGCCCCCCCAAAAGAAAATTAAAATGGCGGATCGTAAAACATTTTGGATTTTGGGTTTTTTTCCTTTATTCGTCACAATACATTTTCCTCCCCAGCACAGCTGGTAAAACAGGTGAAATTTCAACATCTTAAAAACTAAAACATACATGATACAATTCTTTTGGCAAATAACTTACTGTCACGGCTCAACCAGCGGTCTGATCGAAACACGAAGAGACTATTTATTTTAAATGAGCTCAAACTTAATTTAACATTTTTCTCCATTTCCACCACTACTCTTAGAATGACACTTGATTTTCCAAATTTTGGTATTTGTACCTCATATTTCTTTCTTTAAATGTCCTATGGCTCAACTGTAGCTCCGTTATCAAAAAACGAAGCGCACTTATTAATGATCTACAACTTTGTTTCTAAACATTTTTCTCCATCTTCCACTCCTTCATCCCCAAATTCAGGTTTGAACTTGAAACTTTACCTTTTTTTCCTGTTTTAATGGTTTTGGTTGCACTGGAGTAAGTTAAAACGCGTTTTTGGCATGTTTGAATTTATATTTCCCTTAACATTTGTCTAAAGTTAATTCTTAGCCAAATTTGAGGTTTTTACGCACCCTACCACCACTCACCTGTTCCTGCATGTAAAATGGTCTTAAATGCAGCTTGGCATGTCGTCAGTGTAAAGGAATCACATGCCTTGTAAGGTAATACTTGAATACTTGAAGGCTTCGTCTCTGACCGGGATTCCGGATGGACTGCGTCAAATTAAATTTAAAAAGTGAACTGAGATGGCGGCGAGTTAGAAAAGTGGCACGTCATCTAATTCTTTGAATGTGTAAATAGGCCTATTTTGAAGTTTTTCCTTCACTGAGGTTTTAAACCCAGCCACATCCATACTTCTGACTTCTTCAGGCAGACTATTGTAGAGTTTAATTGCGGTCACTGGGAAGCTATTTAGGGATTTGGACAGTCTGCATTGAGGGGTGTCGAGGTTTCTAGCGTTCCTGGTGTTATGCTGATGTATATCTTGTCTTCTTCCATACATAGAGATGTTCTGGCGTACGTGTATCAGACAATTGAGGACATATTGTCCATAAACAATCAGGATGCCGAGACGTTGAAAGATAGGCCTATGAGTAAAATCATTGCCTGTTATTTCAGTAGAGGTTATCACTCTCAACGCCTCCTTTTGGAGTATCAACAATCTACTGCATGCGGGAGCGTGACCCCAAAGGAGTATACCATACAAAATATGGCTGTGGAGCAACGAGAAGTAAACAGTAACAAGGTACTGCTCAGTGACCACATGACGTAGCTTTCTGAGGAGGAAGATCACTCGAGACAATTTGGTGCAGATCTGGGCTATATGGTGATCCCAGTTTAATTTCTGGTCAAGCCAGAAACCAAGCAACTTTACTGGTTGATTCTCTTCAGCAGCAATTTGTCTCCCAAGAGTGCAGATCAGGAGTTGGGTCTTCTCCTCATTTAATTTTAACTTATTTGAAGCGAACCACTCCATTGTTCTCTCCAGCAATGTACTTGCTTCCCTCTTAACCCGTTCAATACATCTACCTTCCGTCACTAATGTTGTGTCATCAGCAAATAGTAATGCCTGTCCGTCTATTCCTAGGTCATTAGTTAATATAAGGAAAAGGAGAGGCCCTAGGACAGAGCCCTGGGGAACACCGTAGGAGATTTCTTTACTGGCCAAATTCGCTCCCTCCAGGGATACAATTTGCCTCCTATTAGTTAAATAACTGGAGATTCTTTGTAGCGTGGTGCCTTCAACCCCATAAGATTTTAGCTTGCTAAGCAGAATGTCGTGTGGCACGCAATCAAACGCACGACTCAAATCACAGAGGGTGAGAGCCAGTGAGTTTCCAGATTCAAAGGTGTCGGTTATTCTGGAAGCCAAGGATAAAACAGCAGTTGTTGTGGAACGCCCTCTACCAAAACCATGTTGAGCTTCATTCAGTAAGTTGTTCGACTCAAAGTAGCTGCATAGTTGGTTCTTGATCGTAGTCTCTATTACCTTAGACAAAACTGGTAGCACAGATATAGGCCTATAGTTTTTAATTTCTTCGGTATCACCTTTTTTATAGACTGGAACTGTCCGCGCTATCTTGAGGGAATCCGGGAAAATACCATCCCTGAGACAGCTGTTTATAGCCGATGACAAAGGAGAGGCAATATCACTGATTACAGATTTTAGAACATTACATGAGACCCCATAGGGCTTTTAGAGTTCTTTAAGTTCTTAACAATCTGACAGATCTCTTTTGGGGTTACTTCACGCCAGTTTCGAAGACCTGGTCCCAGTACTTTGTTCAGAGGGTTAAAGTTGACGGAGGGTAGGCTGGCCACTATTTCATCCACGGAATCAAGGAAGAAGCCGTTGAAGTCATCAGGGCTGGCAGAACAGCCAACTTTAGGCCTTTTTGGTCGATGCTGGTTAACGATACTCCAGGCAGCGTTGCATTTATTCGAAGACTGCTCTATGACTTTTACATTGAAAGCCTTTTTGGCCTCTGAAACTTTATTTCTGTACAGCCTATTTGTTTTAAGATATAGGGCAAATAATTTATTTCTCTCAATCGGTGACTCGGTGGATTTGACATGGTCATTGATAATCTTAACGAGGTTTTTAAGATGACGTAGGTAAGGTGAATACCAAGGTTTAACCTGCTGCGCACATCCACGCCTGGCATTACAAGGCCTATTTGACTTTTTTTTTTTATTGTTGTAGGAAAGATAGAATTGAATTTATAGTTAAAAATACTGATAAAGCTATCAAAAGGCAGTTCGTTCTGAGTTAGGCCTACTTGTTTCATTTACCAAATCAACTTTCCTCAGTTCATACCTCAGAACAGGCAGGAGCTCATCTCTGACTATCTGTTTGGAAACAATGTAGCTGGCCTGCCATGGGACTTTAGGTTGCCCACTGACTAGGTCAGGGTCTTCGCTTGGTTTTATCTGCATAATCACTGCAGAGTGATCAGCTACAGTAGGGTCAACGACAGACGTTCTGTATTCCCAAGTGTTCAGATTTGTTGCTATGGTATCAAGGCAGGCAGTATTTCTGGTGGGTTTTCGGCTTGTAATGTAAAGTCCATAGGTACGGAGCAGATTGGAGAATACATTTTCCTCCCTAGACTGTTGTTCCAGATGTATGTTAAAGTCCCCAGCCAGGGCTATTTGTTTTCCAGAACGAGAAAGGAAGGAATTTAAGGATCAAGTTCCCTTTTCCCTTTTCAAACGCGTGTTCATTAAATTCAATTTATTAATATTTTAAAATGCCATTATTATATCCTATGTAAAAAATAATCCATGATCTCCAGTATCCCATCTAACGCCACCGTCTCATGATGTAAAATCTTATATTAACTTGCATATTTAGTTTACCGGCCTTAGTAAAAGATAAACTCGACATACTACAACTTATGTCTAAAGGTAATTTTTTTTCTTTTTTTTTACTTTATGGAGCATATTTTAGTGACTTAAATCTTATGACCTTATATTAGATACAATAACATTTTAAGCAGCATTTTTGTTTTGCCACCCATGTAAACATTGAATTCGATATACTACACCCTATATCTAAAGGTAAGTTTTATTTTAGTTTTTCTCCATGCATCGTATTTTGGCGGCCATTTTGTGGCATCAAATGAGGTCAAATCACATTTTAAGTTGCATATTTAGTTTCCCCACCCTTGTAAACATTAAAAATGATATACTACACTCTATATCTAGCAATAATGATTTTAACAATTTTTTTTGGAGTAATTATTATTTTAATTTAAATACCCTAATATCAGGTACTTCCCCAAGTCAGATTTCGGTAGAATTTTTTTGTTGTGTTGTGTGGAGGTATAAAAGTATTGAAATCCGTTGAAAACCCTTTTGAAACAATTTTGCCGAACTTCCACAACTCAATGACTGGACTAAAAGGTAAAGACTTGAAATCTTTCACAGTTACTAGTCTTTGCTTTAAAACCAAGGGATAATTTTGAAAAGTGTATCCAATTTACAACTCCCCCTCCCCCCTTCTAATGTTTCTGTATCAAAAACACTTCAGTTGCATTAGACTACAGTGCTTATTATTTTACTAACTTCTATTATTGTATTGTTTTACTCAGTAACAGATTTTCTCCGAGGATATTTCCAACGATCCCCCAACCAAAAAAGGGGGCAGCAAGTTTTTTTATATACCGGTATTGTAAAAAATCAAATAAAGCTTTCCTAATTCTGAATATTAGGATTTTTTTTCATTAAAATTACTGTCATTAATTATATTTGAAAAAACTGTTGCTTTCAACATTAATATTAGGATAAGCAAAACACCAAATCACATTTTTCCACTTCATTTTTATTTTAGTCCTTATATTTACATTGTGAGCACTATCATACAAATAGTATATAATTGTATCACCGTTAGTGTCCAGTAAAAATATATTGCAACCATCAACTGCTTTACAAAGCAGTGTTTTTGTGGAAAGTCAGACTTAGACTTAGACTAGGCCTACAATTCAAAAGTAAAGTTTCTAAAAAACAAGGAAAAACTGCATGCATCAATATTGAATAACAAATTCATCTTTTTAAAACAGGACATATAAGAACCAAATTAAAACATAGATTTTATCCATTAAAATGATATAAAGAACTATTTTAAAACGTCATTAAAATTAAGATTTAGATAAAAGATTTCATCATGCTGAATGTTAATAAGTTCATGCTAATAACAACGATATAACTACAGTCTGCATGTTGAAATTTTTAAACCATTTAATGTCAAAAGACTTGGAAGATGTTGGATTAAAAATACAATAATTTAAAACTAAACTTAATTATAAACAAACAAAAAATATATATATATAAAATTTGAAAATAATATTAACAGTAATATACATTCCAAAATGCATTTTTGCTGCGGACTTACCCTTTAAAATATCACACAAATACAAAATATTTCTCTTAAACTAGTCTTATCACATTTAGTATTGAAACTTTGGATCAGTATTAATAATGGATCCTAACAGCAAAGAGGAAAAATTTTCGTTAAATCTGAAATATGTATTTCAAGAAAAATTTTAAGAAAACAAGGATTAATGTTAATTTTTTAAATGAGTAGATTTTCAATGCTTCTGGTTCTTGGTTCTCAGATTGAGAATTGGTACTATACCGATTTTGATGACATCACATCGCCCCTACCTTGTGACCTGGTGATCTTATTTCTTATGACACCAATAACAGGGCAAACTACTAATAGGACAATAAAAACTCCACCATTTCAACCCAATGCCATTGCTATAAATATGTCCTATATTGTTTTTTATTTATGGGTTTTGTTGATTTTAGAATTCTTGTTTGAAATTTAGAATTTGTACAATTGGGCTGTTAATTAGCTTTACAAAATGAATGTTTTTTTTATTATTTTTAGGAAATTAATAATCTTGTTTAGTGTTTATTGTAAGTTAAAAAGTATTATCTTAAAATTAAAACGGTACACTACAAAATATTAAATTTTCATAGGAAAGAACTAATAATGTTATTGTGTGTTAGACAGTAAAGTTTACACATCACAATTATTTTTTTAAGTAGACTGAAATTTAAAAATTGCAGAAATACAGCCATTGCAGTATTTAAAAATTCAGTTAAAAGATTTACCAGTTATTAAAAAACAAACATTGATGATATGTTTCTGTATTGAAAATTGATGAACCTACGACTAGGCCCAACATTAATAATTGTTTCCATAAATAGAAATAATTTTATGCTTTTCAACTAGATTGAATTATATATACTCTATTTAAAATTGTGCCTGAAACAAATAAATTACATTTCATAGCCTAAATATTATAATATACCTATCATGATATGTGCAGTAAAGAAATATGTTCTAAATTTTATGTATCAAATTTGTGTAAGCATTTCAGCTTAAAACTGTTTTTAAATTTGTTCTTTGGTATTGTTAATAGTCATACAATAAACATGATATAAATTTGTTTAGTTTCAATACAATGGATGTATTGTAAAAAAAGAAAAAAAAACTAGCACTTATTGATCAAATTTACACTTTAATAGACTTTATTCAGGTAACTACAAATTAATAAATGTTATTCAGTCGTATTAAAAATGTGTAATTAAAATATTTGAAAGTGACTTCACAGTTTCTGAGGATAACTGTAGAATAAAAATTACCTACTCCTATCTACAATTAAAGTTGAAAGATACTTAAATTGACAAGAGTAGATTGCATTATTTATTCATTGCACATTCAATATATCAATACATTTATAATATAGTAAAACTGTAATCAGACTATTTAAACTTTCATTCGGATGACAAATTCATGCAAATGTTTTCTATCAAAGTATTCAATATCATAAATTTTATAAAAATGATTGTCTTTATTTATATTAGAAAGTATAGTACATATATTGGAAAATTGTAAAAATTTCTATTACTATGTTAACACTATTTATAAAATGCTAAATTCATAAGCTGAACAGTTCTCAGTATGATTATCACTGCATCTTGTAACAACAGCAAGTTCGTTGTTATTATATCACAACATAGGGTGAACGTTACGAGATCGATAGTTCCACCTTTGAGGTATCTACTCCGGGAGATTAGGGTCAAGGTTGGGTTTAGGTCCTGGGTCCTTGACGACTCCGTTAGACATCTGGTGGTAGTGAGGATGCATTGATGATGTGGGTCGGTCGTACTTTAGGGTATCATATACATCTGAAAACATCACTTGGAATAACTACTGGGAACACAAGAAAATAAATGAATCAGCATGTAAAATTGAGTATGGTAATTTTACAATGTTATAACATTTAGCTCACTATTTAATACTGGTTAAGGCATTGCTGTGTTGTATGGTGGGCTGAAACTTGGAGCAGGCCAATGAAAATACCCCCGCCACAGCATACCTGCAGACTAAGCGAATTTCCATTTGCTTAATTGGATTTACACTAAAATGTCTCCTTAATGCTATTACTATTAATTAATGCCATTTAAATAGCATTAATTTAACGAATACACTACGTTTGCTGCAACAGGGAGGGTAAAAAAATCTTTTATTGTAAAATGTAATAGTTTAGTAAGAAATAAATGCATTTTCCAAATATAATCAAAATATGCTCATAAACAAGCAAACAACAACAGTTTACTTATCCATAAGAATAACATGGGAATTTTAAATTTACATTTTTTTTCCTCCGTAACCATTAGGCGCATAGTAACGCTTCAATATACTAAATTATATTTTTTTAAGCTCTACAAAATGGTTTGGAAATTGCTAAATTTGATGTTTTTAGGGTCAAAAATGAGAAAACCCAATTTTTACCCCATAAAACCCCATTCCCATGGTCCGATCATGCTGGTTTGCAAATTCGTTCGAATAAATGTAGGTTTACACGTTTATACAAAATTGCATCAAAATCGGATCATTTTTACATCGGATCATTCGGACATAAATATATACAACCTGAACATAAAACATTTATAATAACAAATCAACTGTTTATTTGGTTTTAGTTGGTGGTTTTTGATTTGTTGTATATGAAAGCTTAAATATTACGATTTTTAGTTGTAAAATGGGGCAAACCTGACTAGCTTCTGCCTTATTCTTCCTCATTTTACAACTAAAAATCGTAATATTTCAGGTATTTCTTATTCAATATTTTTGAACTTGTTATCGTTTGATAGGGAATTAAAAATGCTAAATAAAAGTGTTCTTGACATTTTTTCATAAAATTAGCCTTATTTAAGTAATTTAGGTTTAAAAAATTAAAATGGCCGCCATTTTGAAATTTTAAGTTGAATCAAGATGTATTTTTTTTCTAACATTGTTATTTTCTACCTTAACCTATATACCAAGTTTTGATTGAGAAATTTCAAAAATAAAAATGTTTTTATAAAATATACAAAATGACGGATATCTGGTTAACGAAGCGATTTTGGGAACAATTTTATTCTTGATTTTCTCTTTATTTTGACCGATAGAACCATTTCCCGGAGTTTAGCTGTTTACTTACGGGACACCCTGTATAAGCGACGGCCAAAAAATGGGTTCACGAGACAGAGCGTGATGATGTGAAAGCCGGGCTTATTTTTGGTTGAGCGCGAATCTAAGCGGAGCCTAATGGCAGGGATTCGCAGGGAATGTTTGTTGAGAGATTGGCAACAACAGCCTGGAAACACATATGAAGCCACTGCTCCTGACCAACGCACTTCCAAACACCAAAATGATTATTACTCGCATATTTTTTTGTCTCAAAGCTCACCTATAATAATCTATCAAAGTTTATTGATTGATAAACACCAGGGCCGGAACAAGGGGGGGGCAGAGGGGGCGGTTGCCCCGGGCGGCAGGGTTGAGGGGCGGCAAATTTCTGGTTGCAATAAATTTGTTTAATACAGTTTGTAAAAAGTTTTTAATGAGCCGAACGTCATAAGGAACGTCAATTAAGTAATTTCAAAACTGCATAACGTAATAAACAAACAATAATTTTACAATAGAAATCAATATAAATTGAGTAGAAAACACTGAGAGCCCTAATAGCATAGTTAGCAGCACAGAAAAGTTTGTTTATAATTTCAGCTGATCGCCATCCCTGTCAAGGCGCCATGCCGCCCTGCCTCACTGCCGTGGTTCGTTATATAGAGGTTAGGTTTGCAGGAATTTCGATAAGTCGAGGTTCAGAACCAGCGTCGATCAATATAGGTCGGGACTTGACCTCATTAAAATACAGTACAATTAAAGTAGCATGGGCTACAATACTTTACAGTACAGTGTTTACATTGTACAGTAGAACCTAAATTATCCGGCATAATAAAGGGGAGGGATCTTGAATATTGCGCAATCATGACAATGGCATTGACCTTGGTACAGATTAAAAGATATAAGTTGAAAATCACAGCTTGTTCTAACCCTCCTAAAACCTAGCCAAACACTGTACTGTATTGCGTAGTCATAAATTATGTAAAGAACAAAACAAAACAGGAGAAAGTTTTGTAAGCTACTGCCCGCGATAGGCCGGTAGGCTACTTACAGTACAGTACTGATTTATCACAACAGAGGAATGTCAATAATAATCATTAACTATAGCATTGGTGTTGCTAATGCTAGTTGAAACAAATCGTATTGAAAACAATAAATTATTAGATAAGTCATTATAAAAGTGTATAATCATAGCCAACTTAAGGATAGTAAAAATACTCGTAAAAGGAATGTTAAAAAAACGATGTTGTTATTCTTTTTCTTTGGTTTTGTTTTTATATTCTTTCTTAGGTTTTTCTTTATCAAAAAAATTGTACAATTCACCATAGTTATCCCATATCGCCCAATCACAGCTTACTAAACATTACGTCGTCATCAGTCCTCAGTGAATGAAATCAGTTCTCAATTGCAACATAGCGCGCGCAGAGACAGCAGACAAAGATGTAAAACGGAGCAGACGAATGTTAGCGAAAGCGATGACGTGACCTTTCCATTTCATTTGATAAAGAAACAGATTTTCCCAAAACAATAATTGGGTGGGGGATTTGTTATATCGAGGGAAAGACGTAGACAATTTGTTATGCAGAGGTTAAATTCGCAATGTAGATGTTCTGACAATGATAAATTTGTTATATTGAGGTGTCTTATTTTAGCCGAAATCACGAAAAATTCGTTAAATCAAGGTCGTTGTTATAGTTTGTTCGTTATGTAGAGGTAAAATATACATTGTGTCTTATGGAGAGTTCTAGGGGATTTAAAAAAATTCGTTATGTCAAGGAATTCGTTATATCTACCTATTCCACTTTACCCTCCATTTTTGTTTAATTTGTGAGGGATTTTTTGTTGTGGGTGAAGTGGGGGAGGGGCGGCAAATTTTAGTTTGCCCCCACTCAAAAATTGTCTAGATCCGGCCCTGATAAACACAACAAGCCACGTTTGTATGAAATCAGATAATAGAAGTCATTAACGAATTAGATTGTTCTGTTTGCACCATTGTAATTCAGTTTAGATACAGTAGGCATTACATAAAATCCCCGGGTATTTTATAAGTGGATGAATGGGTATTTTTCATAAATACCTGATAAATTGGGACAGTTTTTTGGATAGGCTAATTTTAACTAAACCTATTTAAATTGTACAATTGGAAGATCTACATGTATAAAACTAAAATGTATTTAGAGATACTGACTATTTAGATACAAAAATGGTATGTATTAGCTGAGCTTAATCGTGGTTGTAATCTAAGAACATTCTTTCCATTATTCTTACACTCTTTCAAAACATTAAGCAGTAAAATGTTGAAAATAATATTCTGTAGTTAGCTTGTAATGTTATTTATGTAAACATTTATTTTATGCTTGTTAAAACTTAGTGTTGTGATTTTTTAAATCAATTTTATTAGTACCTAATCTATCAGTTTGGTCCGCGGCTTTTAAAGTTTCGAGCTCGTGAACCCGATTTTTTAAGCCGTGGTGCAAATACTGGTCATTTCCGGAATCTGGGCTCGGACTACGATAGACCCAAGCTCGTGAACCGCCTCTTAGTGTAACTATAATAGCTTAACAAAAGTAACCCTCCTATAAATCATTTTGAATTTACAATTTTGAAACTTACCACCTCCTTTACTCTGTATTTCACAATACAGGTGATCCTTGTCAATATCAATATCAGTGTACACATTGGGGTTGTTCAGATCAGCGTCTTTGTTTTTCGCCACAGCATCGAACCCATAAGCTCCTAAAACAAACAGTACAGGATTGATTTACATAATAAAAACTCCATAGCGCTTTTAAAAATACAATGTTTTAAATCTTAATGTAACACTTTATCAGTAGGGTGTCTTTCGATTACTGTGAGCAAACGGCTACCATTTTTGACTTGGTTGTCCATTTGAGGTCTGGTTTACGGCATTGTTTTGCGTTTAACAAGACCTTTAATTTGATGTACATATAAACCTATGCTGCTTACCTTTAAGATTTTCAACTTACTCCCTATGGGCCGTCCCTCATTGATGACATCCGATTACCTTGTACACAAAAAAGTAGCTTACTAATACCGATATGCCAAATTTGGTTGTGATTTCTCTTTTATGTTTTAAAGTTAATAAAGTTGTCCTAAGACTTAATTGTCACTCTGTATAATAGTATGAGATTAATGTGGTGAACTTTTACCTTTACAACTGTCATCGTCATCATCTTGAAATCCTGGTCCAAACTTCTGACGTTCAAGGTTGCTGGCTTTGTGTGATCCCAAGTTGTTTCGAATAGTTCTGTTGTTTAGGAGGCTGGAGCTATCTTCTGGTTTCTGATAAGAGTAGACAGGGTTGTCAAAATGGTTTTGATCCATAGCAGAGCCGTTAGGATCAGCTATGTAGTGAACTCTTGCAATTTCTGTCTTGAGGTTGGCAACTCTGTGCTTGTGGTAGAAGTACATGGCTGCAATTACTCCTATTAGGATTATAACTATCAGGATTGCCAATACAAAGCTGCCCATTCCTCGGTCGGGAGCTGGAGCTATGAATATACGATCTCTTGCAACACAGCTATCACCTGTAACAAAACACATTTTTATCTAAATGCACATTTGCCTCAAGTTACTGAATATTTTACAGCTGTTCACGGTTGTAAAGTGCAACAGAGCAGATGTATTGTTTATTAACGTGAAAACTGTGAAAGGTTATGAACCCTTTAAAGAACCATTTAGTTGTGAATATGGACCTTAAATTCCAGTTGATAGTCTCCTAAGTATTTTTTAATCCTTCTTGATGATGAGATTATCCATTTAATAATAATTAGCAACAACACTACTAAGCCTATGTCAAAAAGCAAAGGGCAAAACGAGGGATGGTTTGGTGGGATTAGAGAAAAAATTACCATACTAGAGTGGATGTGAAAAAAATCACTTTGTAGGGTTTATACATAATATGACTATATACCTGCAAATCCATGTTTGCAGACACAGCCATTGGAAGCATGGCAGATGAAATTCTCATTTGGGCATTCACATGGAGACATACAATGATCACCATAGTAGCCTTCTGGACAAACTGAAACAAAGAGGAAAATAATTCTTTCCATTTTGCAGACAAAAAAAATAGCCACAAAGGATATGCTGACACAGACAACCCGTACTTTTGATTCCACATATTCTTACAATATAACTATTCACTTTTTGCTGCATTACTTGTTTGTGGGAATTTCACTAATATATTTTTCAGCATGTAAAAAAATAAAAGATCATGGTAAAAAATATGAATATATAATCAAATTCCAAATCTTGAAACGTTGTGAAAACTTTAATTGAAATGGTAAATGCCAAATAACTTTAATAAAACCTCAAATAACAAGAACATATCTTTACCAAAATTAACTTCAACTTAAAACAAGGAATGATATTATAGTGGTGATCAGTTCAATTATTAGAGATGATTAAGATAACTAAGATGGAGTTTATATTTTTAGTAAAGGTTTTAGAAATGTTTTAAGACACATACTTTCACTACATTGTGTTCCGATCCAGCCTGGAGGACATCTACAGACTCCGTCATTGAGCCGACATCGACCACCGTTGAGACACTTGCAATGTTGAGTGCAGTTAATGCCGTAGGTTCCTTCAGGACAGGGCTGAGCACATGTAGGGCCCATCCACCCTTGTAGACACTGGCATTGTCCTGTAAAATATATTGTTTGTTTGGAAATCAACGGTACCAGTGTCAAAGTGACATTTTAGCGTGCACCAAACTGTTTTAACCCCAGCAAATTATCTTGCTAGGTGTTGGTAGGGTGTTGAAATCAATGCTTGTGTAAAAACAAAAACCCTGCCAAATTTGAAAAAAGTTTGCAGTAGGTTTATGAGAAAAATCTTAACTAATACACAACATAATAACATAACATAACACATTGTAATAATGTAATAACAAAATGTCTTAAGAAGATAATAGTGGAAAAGTACCCAAAAAGGATACGGTGAATTGATCTCATTGGGTGACTGATTTTGCCACGAAACTCTACCAGTGGTGTAGTGGGAAGGAACGGCATTCCCACTCAATTTTTTCCAAAGAACCTATATATTGGTAATCGACCAGTATTTTTCTTTGAAAACAGTGAGCGTTTCCACACTTGAAAATTTCTGACTACACGATGTAGGTCTAGTCTAGTGCCTATAGTAACAATAAAAAAAAAAAATACTTATGTGGTGTCTTGGAAAAGGTACAACAACGCCCCCCCCCCCCCCACCAGCTAGTGGAGGAAGACCCCGTGACTCAGAGCATATTTTAAGGGATTTCCACTGGGCGACAGTGGTGCCGGACTTACCGGGGGGTCTGGAATACCTCCCATCAAAAAAGGGGGGTCCTAGCCCCCCCCCGGAAATTTTTGCATAAATTTTAGTGAAAATTACACATTTCTATGTATCTTTTAATGAATTTTTTCGATTATATTTGCTTGTAAATAGTCCATTTAATCTCACTTAATTACGTATTCTAGAAGGTTGTAACAGGCCAAGGCTCCCTTCACAACCTCTTAGGCCAAAATCATAGCTCAATACTCTAAAATATTTCCATAATGTGATTTTTTAAATTCCAATACGTTTAAAATTTGAATTATTAAAAAAAAATTGCTGGCACCACCCATAGTCACTGGGCGACAAAATCCCAGCACTGGGCGACATTTGTGTCGCCCAGTTAACATGTTATTTTATGCCCTGCCGTGACTAGGAACAGTTATTGCCGTTCGGATTCTTCCTTACTGAAGAACACACAAGTAGTATATTTACGGACAACATACTAGAGCTGAAAGCACATGGTCGTCCCATAACCAAGTTTCTACTGTATCTTACTTCTCTGTGGTACCGCACATATATTTTAAGTGTAAAGAGAGACGCAAACTAGGTGTTACCTGTAACATGATGACAATCTGCTCCATTCTTGCAAGAACATTTCTTGGAGCAGTTCTTGCCGTAGGTGCCAATGGCGCAAGGATTCTGGCAAGTGACCCCTCGGTAGCCAGGGCGACAAGAGTATTCTCCCGTCACGTGATCACATGTTCGGTTGCCTTGTATAAGCAAAACTACATCATTACACTCTGTGTTAATACAAAAATGCCACCACCGCTTGAACGTAAATCAAATCTCTACATAAATATACTCACTTAAAATTTATAAAAATAAATTCAATGATGTTTACTGAAATGTAAATTAAAAGTAAACGTAAAGATTAAGTTCACGGTTAGTCAGTTAGTTAATGGTGGGAACTTGCCAAAGGTAAGGGATATACCATATAGGTGGTTAACAAACAATTAGAAATACCGTAAAAAATATAAACAAAAAATTAAAATAAAAACAGAGGCTGCTCGTTTATTATTGTCCCTCTAATAGACAATAATAGATCTATAAACTCAGCTAATAAACTACTATATAACAAATACATATGCATTGGATTTACATCCAACTGAATTTTTTGAGGTTATGTTTTGACTTTTGAGTAAAATGCTGCGACTATCTTGTTTACGATGGAGTGAAATAGACCAATAGCTTATACAGATAATTGTGAATTGTCTTTCAATCTTTCTGAGGAGGAAGATAATAATTTAAGGCAAAATTATAATGAATAAGGAAGTCATAGCTGTTTTTGGAGGTCATTAAAAGAACCAAAAAAGTAGGAAAGCCTTTGTAATCAGCTACAGTGCAATTAATAACAGTAACCCAATGGGTTTAGCATTACATACCACATTATAGGCCTAAAATAAACAACTGAATTGACATATTTGGATCTTATTATTGATTCTGATCTTAATAGTTGTAGCTGATTTGTAACACTTACCATAACCTCTTCTAGGACACTCTTCTTTGCAGCCGAGACCATAGAATCCCTCAGAACAAGTTTCCGCACAGTGAGTGCCAGTCCAGCCGCTCATACACTCGCAAGTACCCTCAAGTTGTGAGCATGAAGCGTTGTTTAGGCAGTTGCATCTCTTGGTACAGTCGATGCCGTACATTCCCCACTCGCACTGACTGCCACACTTTAGTCCTGCAATCAAGATATCAGAAATCAGAAATCTTTATTCACGATTGATCTTATTACATGAAATAGGCTTCGTGATACAATATAAATCTATCATAATACTAAAGATAAGAAAATCTACACATATAACAATCACAAACCTATATAATACTACTGACAATAACAACATTTCTTGATCAATTCTATCTACAAATTAATCTAGGATCACAGGACAGTCTAAAAACTGAGTTAAACAATAAAGCGGATTTTTTAATAGCCAATCGTGAATTTTCTTCTTGAAAACATTGACTGGTGCAGTTCTAGCATATGAAGTTTATTAAAAAATCTAATGCAGTTAATTTTGTGAGATGACCCAGTTTTGGCTAATCTGTGCATTGGGATATCAAGTCTCACCTTCCCTCTTGTGTCGTGGTTGTGTATGCTCTCTCTTGTGACAAATTCTTGTAAGTTCATTTTGATGTGCATTAATGAGCAAAGAATATACAAATTTACAACAGTGAGTATTCTAAGTCTAATAAATAATGGACAAATCCACCATGGAGATCAGCGATTTGAATTGCTTAAGAAAAATGTATTATCCATACAGAATCTTAAATCTCAAAACTAGCCTATTTAATATTACAAAAACCACATAATAACTTGGATAGCAGTATATGGCTAATACATTTTAAACCTAAAAAATCCCCACTGCAGCAAACTTGCTCACTAAGCGAATTTCCATTTGCCTAATTGGAATTTCACTGAAATATTTCTATTAACAGGTCAGATTTATTTACATAAAAAAAAATACATTATGTTTAACGAGAACTTAGCTTTAATTCTACAGGGTTTTAAAGTTAGTTGCTTTAGTGAAATGTACATAACCTTAGTCTAAAAACATTTGCCAAATTTGATAAAAAAAGTATACATAAACAAAACCACTACAGCAGTTTACTTATTCTGCAATAGAATAAACATGGGGAATTTTCTCTGTAACCATTAAGCTTACAGCTAGGCTATACTATTTTTTAAAGCTCTACAGACTAGATGGAAAGAAATTGCAATATTTTATGTTTTGAGGGGTAAAAAATGGAAAAAAACAACTTTAATAATAAACCTGGCCGATCGCTAGTTTACATCATACATTTACTATTTAGCTAACTTTCAGTCTTACATATTTACCACCAAACACAGTAGTGTAATAGGCCTATCTTAACCTGTTATGATTACAAAGTTGGTTAGCTGGCTAACTTATAACCTAGTCAAGGGATCCTATGCTATGCCTATGTTTACACCAGACCATTGAAGGTCTTGGTTTACCAACCCCCCTCAAAATAGGCAGCTTACAATTCTCTAATGGCCAACAACTAACCTTAAAATGTTTAGAAAACTAAAAGTATTGCTGCTAATACAAACCAAGCAGTTCTCTTTTAAAATGATGGGTTATTTTGTAACTTACGATTACAGCAACCGAAAAAAGTAATAAAAATACTTTGTTTTAGGCTATAGGCAACAGATAATAAAAATAGATTTCAGTTAGCCTTTGCTTTATATAAAATTTATTTAAAGACTGTTTACTGTTTAGTAATATTAGATAAAATCTTAACTAACTAATTTACCTTAATATTAAATTAATATTAGTACATAAAAGTATAATTATCAAAATGTAAAAATAATTGAATCTGAACCTCTCAATAGTCAATATCAATTCAAACTGATCCTTAATGAACTGAACTAAAATTTCACCTCTAATTTTCTAGAGTAAAATTTGCACTACTGTAGGTTTAAAACAAATTTTACAAAAAAACATTACACAGACACTCTTGATAGCTGTTTTGTTGCAACTCTTACAACTCATTACTATAATTTTTGACTCATACTTTGAGTACAAGATGTGGATCAACGTACCTTTATACCCGGGCAGGCAGAGGCATTGTCCAGTGACAGGATCACAGCTCGGAGAGTGTTCAACATAACAGTCACACTGCTGTTTACATCCACGACCCCAATATCCCAGCTCACATTTCTCCTCACAATACTTGCCTTGGAAACCAGGCGGACAGATACATGTGCCTACAACACATCTTTCACCATCAGCTCATAAATTAAACCTCCAGGGGGCAAGACTAAAGTTCACCCTCCTAGCCGTGAAATGGCAGTGCTGTTGAGGAGATTGTCACAAACTACTCACTACAGTAATAAATTGTCTCAAACTTAATTAACGATCTTGAGCCGGCAAAACCTCATTTTCGGCTCTAGATACTAAATAAACTACATTGGAAAATATGTAAACATAGACTTATAGATTAACACAAAACTACAAGAAAAGCTCAAATTTTGAAACACTGTGTACTATGTCTAATGGTTGTGAAACAAAAAACATTCAGATGTAAAATTAAGCATGCCATTAGGGATGCTAATCTATAGTCCTTAGACACATATGACGGCTAATGGCTAGGCCTATATTAGTTACTATTTTTGTCATTAAATAATCAGTTAAACAGAAATAGTCCTTAAAGACCATTTTTAGAACATTAAAAAAACTGTAATTTAAAATTGTTAAATAAATAAATGGGAACTGCAAGTTACAAAACTTCGAGTAATAAAGGTTGAGTTTGAAACATAAAAATGTCCACTAATAGAATATGTTAAATTAACTTAAAATTTAGACCGATGACTAAAAACTTACCATTCTGGGGGTCACAGACAGCATTGTTCTTACAAAGGCATTGTTCTGTACAGTTCTTGCCGTAGAAACCCTCTTTGCAAGGTCTATCACAGCGTAGGCCAAGCCATCCTACAAACACAGACATATAAACTCATTACAATAGGAACAATAAGACTGGTCACTGAGAATGGACTGTTGACAAAACATCTGCAGACGTGTGTGTAGTGTGAAAGATGAGGACCTATTGGTCAGAGGAGCTGATTGGAAACCTGTAAGCGTTCATTATTTGGCTGCACTTGGACAACCTCTAAGGACGTTAACCTAATTGGGGTGTGCTATAATTCCACCCTGAATGAATTGCCCTTCAGGTTAAAAAGCGTTGCCATATCTGCTAAGAATTTGGCATATCAAAGGACAAAAAATTTTACGCTTTTTTAGGAAGGTGTTTTTAAAGGAAATGAATTGATTTTGAAGTGAAAATAAGAGAGTATTGAAATTAAATGGGATATAAAGAAATATTGATTCTGAGAGTAAAATTGGACTTGGTTTCACATTGATTTTACTCACTCACAAACTAATAATTACATTTTTTTATAAAAGTAAACACAAAACATTTTTACAATTAGAAACATATGATTTAAATAAATAAATCATGGTAAAGTCTAACCAGGATGAATGAACCTTATAAAGAGTAACTGCTTCACAACCAACAAATTATTGAGACCCTAACCCCATGAGAAAGTTACTCAATATCTGTGATAACGATATATTTTCTATATTGTCTTAGGTTTTTTTTTTTTTTAGTCAGAGGGGGTAAAAATGCTTTTACGCACACAGGTAGCCAGCCTATAGTGTGAGACTAAAAAAACCCCTCTACTCTGTTGGACACAGACCTGGGATTGTTTGTCACATTACTTCAGGTCAGGTCCAGGTGGAACTTTGGGTAGCACCGGAAGTGACACTCATCGTCCGCGGGCCTTCTGTAGTATCATGCATGAGGAGGCGGAACCGGAGGTAATCCTCTATAATGCACATGAGGTATGCCGGGATGTGTAAGGTGTTCTCCATAGCGTCCAGCATATCGCACCATCTCGCAGAAATAAATGCGTTTCGCACATCGAGTGTAACGAGCAGCACAACCCGACAAGAATAGTGATTAAAATCCTCAGCTCTTATCACGGCTCGCTTCACCTCCTCAATAGCGTCGACCCTTGATCGCCCCTTCCTGAAGCGTACTGATGAGGGCTTAGGTCCCCCGCAGCAGCCACGGCTGAATTCAGTCAGGAACGGAGCAACTTCTCTTGGACTTTACCAGCCGTTTCCAACAAAGGGGTCTGTAAGAAGATGGCAGTTCTGGGTCTCCTTTCCCCTACCCTACAAGCACGAGCCTAGCTTTTTTCCAGCACAACGGATATACCCCCTCTGCCAGGCAGGCGTTGTACGTGCTCAGAAGATTCAGAGGATTGATTGAAAAAACCTTCTTGAGAGCCTCGCCAGGTACCCCATCAGGTCCAGGAGACTTGTTGTTTTTTAGGGATAGAATGGCAGTCTCCAGCTCCTCATGAGTGAAGAGTGAAACATCGTCCATCCTCCCAAACTTACGCAGTATGCGCAGCTTATGATCCGGAAAAAGGAATTTTACAACCCTCTCCATAGTGGCCCCCTCCATTACGGAAGGTGGAGAGCGGGTGGTGAGTTTTTGTGCTACTAGTTTGTAACCCTGGCCCCAAGGGTCGGAATCAACATCATCCCTTAGTGTTTTACAACAATTGTGTTTGCTCCGGTTGATGGCCCGGCGGAGAGACTTCCTCGCCACCTTATACGTCTCCAACTTATGTCGTCTATCCACGGATGCCCTGGCCCTGGTAGCGAGTCATCTAGCTCTCAAAGCAGCTCAACGCAAATCCGTGATCTCGGCAGTCCACCAGTATACCTATCGCAACGGAGTCTATTGCGGGGCATTGACTCATCACAAGCCGAGGCAATCAGCTCCATCATCGATGTAACTGATACCTCTGCATGAGCCATGCCAGGTGCGGCAGGCACCGCTGGCACTCCCCGCAGGATGTTGTCTTAGGGTACTGCTAGTACACCTGTAATCTATCGTAAAAGTTTTAGGAGACAGATTGTATTTGAGAGCACTGTTGTTGAATAAATCGTTTTCTCTTATTTTATGAAAAACTGTTTAGTATGTGCTTTCCTACACTTTGGCTATTTTACCAGAGGACAATAGCTAATAAATGTGGTGTTTAATTAGGTTAAAAACTCCAATCAATCAAATAACAAAAAATAAATATCAAGAAACAAAATCAACTCAAAATATGCCAGACAGAAATATACCTGAAAATTGTCTTTGGTTGACCTATGAGAAATTAATACTAACCAGGAGTACAAATACATCGGCCTGTGTCGGGTAGACAGGTAGCTCCGTTCATACACTGACATCGTTGGGAGCAGTCTTCTCCATAGTAGCCTTGAGGACAGGTCTCACTGCAATTTTCTCCTCGGTAACCTAAAACAAAAGCCCAAAACAATATGATCAGTATCAAAGAAAATCTGAGGTCAAGTTAAAAGAGCATATTTTTATACAGGTAACTCTTTGAAATCCAAAGATTACTCAGTAATTTAATTCAGCCTATTTTAAAATTACACTTTCCCCTCATGGTATTAATATAAAAATTAAAATCAATTTAAAACAAGTTTTCAAATAATGTACACAAACTTATTAGAGATTAAAGTTCACCTATCCTGTCTACCTTCTGGCAGATCAACAATTGTACTGGTCATTACCAGCTGGTAATTTGGTGTTCGAAGCATTACAATTTTACTTCTTTTCTCTCAATCCTTGAACGCCATTGGTCCGTTACTTTATCACACTAGTGCTGTATAAGTAAACAATGCGGTGAAGTAAATATTTTCCATTCTAACAATTTAATTGAAAAAGCTAGTTCAAAAAAACATCTTAGGTGAATAGTATTTGTCTAACAGGTGTTACCTTGAGCGCAGATACAGGTGCCATTGTTGGGTAGGCACTGAGCGTTGTTTTGACATACACATGCGTTACGACACCCGAGTCCGTAAGTGTAGAGAGGACATGGTCTGGCACACTGGGCTCCATCCCACCCTACCTTACACTCACATTGGCCAGTCCATGGATGGCACCTGCAAACGACAATACATCATGTCAACGACCACAATCAACACAATACTTGTTTATTTTCTTCTGTAATAGTATATGGGGTCTAAATGGTTTAGGCTACCATGCTGCTAGCCATTCCAGTATTATATTCCATTTTCATATTTTTGCATCGTCTACCTACAATGGCATATCGGTTTTATGTTCTACAATGGCAACCACAGATCTAGCCAGATCGGATTGAAGACCTGATGTTTTTGTCAAACTGATGATGGACTCCAGAAGTCCAAAACTATAGGAGTGTACTTCTAAAAACGGATCACTCGGAGCAAGGTAACCTAAGCCATTTAGCTTAAATTTAGTGATCCAGAAGCTACTACAGTACACCAATAAAATATTAAGGGCTGGCGACTGGGGCGCGAACCAACAACATTGCTTCCTTTATTTCACAGATGGTCACACTACCAACTGAGCCACTGACTCCACAAAATTTCCTTAGGTTAATCTAAATGTAATGTATACTTAAATAGCAACCTAGCAGACGCACAGGCAGCGCTTGCCTATGTCTGGATTTTCTAAAAAATAAATCAAATAAGTTAAAACAGAAATGTTCTTTTTATTTTAGTTTTAGTTTATATTTGTTATTGTTACATATAAAAAGTATTTCTTTTGTATTTTTGTATTATTTTGGGAAAAATAAACATATTATTTAATTCATTTAATTTATTCATCTATTATTTATTTTCTCAGTGAATAAATAAAGTAATAAACTATGAAAGCCACTTACATTTCTGTGTTTTCAGTGTTACAGTCGCAAAGACTAGCACATTCAGGTCCGTAGTATTTATCAGGACAATTCCTAACCGAGCAGGTTTTGCCGCTCCAACCGTTCTGGCACTTGCAGCTGCCGTCCACGTGGTTGCAGGTTGAGTCTCGTTCACAGAGACATTTCTGTTGGCAGCCGAGACCCCACTTGCCCTCCGGACATCGCTCTGAACACTGCCAATCATAATATTGAGGTTAAAAATGTAAGATCAATGCCAAACTGACAAATCAAACCATCAAAGAAACTAAGGGCGGGTTTCTGATTCAGGTATTAGCGCTAGTCTTAGACTAAAGCTCACTTTAGTACTGGACTAAGAAAAATATCTTTCTGATTCGAGAACTTATAAGTCAGCGACTAATCTTAGTCAAGAACTACTTTTTAAGTCTGAACTAAAGAAATTATGCTTTAGTCCACGGATTAAAACATGCTAGATTTTAATCCTGCACAGGGGTAGGATTAATTTTAGTCGTCCACTTTTTTTGTGTGTTAAAATTGAAGGGGATTATGGATTACATTGATTATCATGATTTTTACCGTTTTTGTGGGCCGCGAATTCGTCGTGAGCGGGAAAACAATCCATTTGATGACTTAAGTTAGGATGAATTCAAGGATAGGTATATATTTTCAAAAAAACTCTGTGAGATAATAAAATAGAAGAGAATAAAATAAAATAAAATAAAATAAAATACGAAATAGAGTTGTAAATAGTTTAGGGTTTTATCTTGTGCAGACATCATCCAGAGACCTTTTTCTCCTAAAAGTTGTAATATTTCATTTCATACATTCATAATTTAGTATTGAGTTTCTTAAAATATGTTAATTTTGTTCATACACCACTTTACAATTTCCTTGTCTTAAATCACTCATCAGAAAGTAATCCAGATCAATAATTATAGGGCTGGCCTAGTATACATTTAAATTATTTATACAGTTAACTTATTTAAAAGAAATAGGATGAAACACCAATCCTACCTTTAAAATTTTACGATACAACTAGTTTATAACTATTATAAAATATATTACAATGATAAATGAATTAAAAGAGAAATAACCTCAAAACCAAGGTTTGACTGAGATCGTTGTTTGTTTACTATTTCAGAGCAGTGGGCACATCAAACTGACAGTGTTGCAAGCACGGCGGCACAAATTACCCTACATTTCCCTTGAAAATCATGAGCTCTTTTAATCCCTGACTAAACTAAGTACCCGCGTTAAATTAGTCCGTGTATCCTTAATCCTTGACTCAGAAAGTGAATTTTTAGTACATGACTAATTTTAATCCATGACTAGCCTAGTTCTGGACTTATAAATCCCTGACTCAGAAACCCGCCCTAAGGATGTTTGTAAGTTATGTCTGTACTCTCATATACCAGACTTGAAAAGCTACTCAAACAATATAACAAAACAGCTTCAACAGAAAGGCCACTAAACATTTTAGGCTCTGTTATAGGTGTTAGAAAGGTTTTTTTTAACTACAACACTACTAGCCAATAAGCTATGGACTGGAAAAGGGGGAGTATATGGTTGCCAGTATAAAGAAATATTAGCTTTAGGAATTATACATTTTTGTTGTGTGCATTTGTCATAATGTCATCATGACAACTACTTACTCTTACTCTTACTCCCATGGCCATCGATACCCAAGGTGGTATTTGGCCTCGCCAACTTAGGCCCGATTTCACCAAATTCTCGCTAACGATGGTTTAGTTAAACTTCGGTTAAAACTAACCGATGATTTAAACTACAGTCAAGGAAATCTGGTTTCACCAATGAAAACGCGTCAAAACTAACGCTGGTTTTATAAACGAGAGTTTAGAGTAAAATCCAGGTGGCAGTGGCAGTGAACTGTCATAATACCGGGCTGTTACGGGAGCAAGTAAACATAACCTAGAAAATAAATCAGTGTTTATGAGGAGGTGAAAACAAAACTGGAGACAGCAAGCTTACAGGATTCTGAGCAAAATAACAACAGAAAGCAAGAATAAATACCAAAACAATTAACATAAGTAAATAAAGGCAAAGCAATGTTGATAAAATATATTCGAGGAACAAATTGGTTGAGTTTTGTGGTCGAGTCAAGACTCATCACATCCAATCCAACTTTTTACAGGGATGTTTAATATTCTGTTTGTTCACTATAACCAGTTTGGTACATTTGAAGTAGTGAAAAAAAACTGGAGTAAAAAAATACAAGAACGAGACACAATATAGATAACACCAAAATAATTATTTTGTATTGTTATATTGTTATATTGCTGTTGATATAACTGCTTAACAAAATTGACATTTTCCATCAATTCTCAGTAAAGCTGACTAACGACTTAAAAAACTACTCAGTAGGTCTCATAACTACTCATAATGATAATCATTATGTGACCATTGTATCATTGATCATATTGATGTGATGTATCATTGATGTGACCTAAATGATGCAATAGTTTACAATAGGTTGTGTTTTCAGTTTGGTTTCAAAGGTTGGTGTATTTAATAGAAATTAGTCATCGATATCAGTGCATTATGTTGGTGATTCAATTCAACTTCAGTAGACTCCCTCTTATAAGGATTCCTCGGGGTCCCGAGTCCAGTCCGAAAAACAGGTTTTTCAGTTAAACTGACGTCCCCTAAACTCATTAAATTAGGAACGTCTAATGCATAGTATATAAGCCAATAATGACTATTATGTAAAAATAGTAAAACTAGACACTAATTGCTGTACCAAGGATTTGTCAAGGCCTTGTACATTTTAATTTTTAAATCTTGATCAAACAACTATTACAATTTGTAAACAAATCCAAATATTTAACTTAATTTTGGGAGAGCATTGTATTTAGACATGTGATCACTAGTGTCAAATTTGTCCCACAAGAAAAGTTGTTTCAGTACTGCCCACTTCCTCCAATCCAGTTCGGTTAAACTGATGTTCTCATCAAAATTGTCCAGTTAAGGAAATGTCACTTTTGCCGAGTATTGTCCAGTTAAACCGATATCTGGTTAAGATGTGTCCGGATAAGAGGGAGTCTACTTTATATCTACTTGTATCTTAAAGCTAGCTACAAATTTAACATGGGAATTGAATGTATACTAGTTAGCTATATACTGACTCTGTCTCCATGGAAGCCTGGCTTGCAGCGGCACACCCCAGTGATGTGGTGACAATCGCCTTGATTGAGACAGTCACACACTTGTTCACAGTTCTCACCCCAGAAGCCCACAGGACAACGGTTGGCGCAAACATCACCCTACGTCAAAACATTACATAATTGACGTTCAACTAAAGTCAAGTAATTTATATGTATAGAATCAAACGTTGCTGTATGCATTCCCAAACTGATTGTGCAAAAGAAAGTTATGAGGATTATGAGTGATTTCATTATTTCACTCTAAGCTATTGTTAATAAAATAGAAACAGAAACTGTAGGAAATCTTACATTGATTATTAACCCATTGGCGCCGACCTACGGGCGTTACTCGTACGCCTGTGCAGGCCCGGCGGCCGACTTACGAGTGCCACTCGTGTCACCGCTAGGCAGCGCCATTAGTTATTTAGTTATTATTATTTTTCGCCCTTTTTGTTTCTTCCTACTATTATAATGTTTATAAATATCTTGCTTCTTGATTTGCGTTTTTACTCATTTATTTTAGCGAATAACAAACAATTTTGTGTTGCCATAGAAACCACATATCACCAAAAATCAGCTGCGGTAAGGTAAACAAACATTTAAAAAAAAATGTTATTACTTATAAAAGCACACAACTTTTGATTTTTCTACGTAGGGAATCGATTGAACTTTATAATAGTAGTGTTATTTGGTGTCTGGATTAATCTTGGAATTTGTATATCAACTTTACTTTCAAAATATTGTTTTAAAAATTTTTATTTTTATAATCTTTATATATATATATTTTTTTAGTTTAGAACTTTGACTATCCAATTACCACTTTTCTGTAGACAACTTTACTGTGAAGAAAATGGTGAAAGAATTATTAATTTATTACCTAAGGTTTTCTTTCTATAGCAGTTAGAGTAAAAGTCTACAAATTCGGTAAAATTAATTGCCGCCAGAGGGTGCTGCAGGTAGCGCATTAATTCCTTCCCCAATGGGTTAAAGATTCTTTATTTGCTCATCAGACAATTAACAATCATAAAATACCGTGTCAATAATAATAAATATAAAATAATTTAATCTAATCAATAACAAAACAACAGACTAGAATTACAATTTCGTGGGTTTTGAGAAAATCTAAGACCAAACTGAAATAAAGGGAATTTGTCTGGGCATTTAGGGATATCTGGGATTGTATAAACTCACCGACCAGCCTGGAGGACAATAGCACTCCCCAGTAGAAGGGTTACAAGTACCTCCGTTTTGACAACTGCATTCGTTGCGGCACTCCACGCCATGGGTACCCTCCGGACAATGCTTCTCACATCTGTACAACAAACCAGAACTGTCAAAATGTTATATTAAGACACAGAGTCAAATCAAATTAAAAAATCTATAACTCAAACTGACAAGTAAATTACAGTATCAGTGGCGTTATAGCAATCATATCACCAATACATGTAAGTAGTGTAAATAGCTGTTTGAAATTATTAAATTGCATTGAGCAACAAGTTTTAGTGCCGAATTGGTGCCGTAGTCAGGTTGTTATTAAATGGACATTTTACTGTAGTCACCTTTTGTGAAAACCGTTATTTTAAAAAACATATTAATGGTATCAGCAAACTGACACGTACTTTCTCCCATAGGCCTAAGCTTGTAAACAACCTTCATCATAAGCGGTGGGAGTAACTATGATATTCTATAGGGATAAATCACAAAAGTTGCAATAACTTTTGAGCCATAATTGTTACAGCAATGGGGGGTTGCACTATTTTTGTTTAGAATTAAAAGGACCATAACAATCTGATATTTTGTTATTTTATGGGGTTTTTATGGGAAAATAATGTAAGTTACAATAACTTTGGAACCGTAGTATTTACAGAAATGGAATTTGTACCATTTTGTTTAGAATTTAAAGGACTATAACATACAAAATTTTTATCAAAATCGTTCAGGCCGTTTTTGAATTTTTATGAAAAAATCACCATTAACAATACAAATTTTGTAATAAATATTTGAAGAAAAAAAAACGCCTGCAGATATAATGGATTAGTACCTAATAACCAGATTTTATTAAAATCGGATGACAGGTGGGGTTTGTAGCTTTGAATACACACACACAAATCAAAACAAAATGATTTGATTTGATTTGACACACACAGACATCACTTTGAAAACTACTTTTTTTGGGTTCAGGGGACCCAAAACGGATAAGCTATATCCACTCAAAACTCAAACTCGAAAATCTTGACGGAAACAATACTTTGCTCATATACCTACTATATACAATTTATACACGGGTACAAACCTCAAATGATTGATTCCATAATAAAATAGAAAAAACTAAACATGAACATTAACAAAGAAAAGTCAGAGAAGAAATACATTAAAATACAGTACTATGGAAAAATCAACAACGCCATTACCAAAATATTTAATAGAAACAATACGGCGGTCCCACATTCTGTAAACAACACACTTTAAAAGTTTTTACACGCCAAACCTATCGCCACAAACTATTAATAATCAGGTATCTATAGAATTAATTGTGACAACTGTCCAAAGTATTACATCGCCCAAACTGTAAGATCTTTCAAACAAAGATTTAAAGAACATATACCTAAAAGATCACAGCATCATCCCAAACATTTGATATAGGAATCACACAACTATACATCTATTGATAAGAACATGGAACTAGTTGAAGTATTACCAAAAAGTGTTAAGATTGATGTTAAAAAGAATTCACCATCCATAAAACTAAATACCCCCGCCGCAGCAAACCTGCCGTCTAAGCGAATTTCCATTTGGCCGAATTTATTTTCAATTGATCTATTTAAATAACATTAGGTTTAACGAGTACCTAGGTTTGCTGCTACAAGGAAACTAATAAAGTAGTGTGTTTTTAGTAAAATATTGATAGCTTACTATAAAATAAATAAATTTGCCAAGTTTGATCAAAATATTTCCATAAACAAGCATACTACAACATTTTACAATATTCTCCATAAGAATAACATGGGAATTTTAAATTTACCATTTTTTTTAGTTTTCTCCGTAACCAATAACAGTACAAAACACTTTGATATACTGAATCGTTTGTTTTTTTAAGCTCTTTAAGAAGGTATAGAGAAAAATTGGGAAATTTTGTGTTTTGAGGGTAAGAAGTGAGAAAAACCAATTTTTACCCCATAAAACCCCCCATAAAACCCTGTTCCCATGGTCCGATCATGCTGGATCGCGAACTCATTCAAGTTTATCCCGCCTTACACCTTCAAACCAAATTTCATCAAAATCGGATAAAAATTACTCAAGTTATCGTGTTCACGGACACATATATATATATATAAATCTATATATATATATACCTATATATATATACATATATAAAAATTTGAACGAATGGTGTTTTTGGCCTCTGGGGACATTAAAATGAAAAAGTAAATCGGTCCCGGGCCTAAGTCTTACCATGAGACCTACGGTAATAGCTACTTCCCTATAGGGAAATTCGCTAAAACCTCAAACCCATGAAACATTTGAAATGATCAGGCATCTTTTCAGTCAAATATTATATTTGATACATACAAGTTTCAAACAACAAGTTTCAAATCAAAGAAGTGTAAAATAAGAAGAACAAAACATAACAAACAGAAATACAGGTGGCACTGGAGAGAAGAAGAAACATCATGATTCAGTCAGTTTGATTTAGTCAGTGGCAGTAAAAAGACAGTGCTATCTGTACAGTTTTAATCAGAATATCAACTTTTATTCCATTTTAACTATTTCATCAACATGACAAGTTTCAATTATTGTGATTGTGGCATTTTTTTAAGAATCTATTGACATACCACAATCTGTTATACATTGATAATACGGTTGCATACAAAATAACCTGATGAAGTTCTGAAGGAACGAAGCTAGTAGTCATACCAACAACTGTGGTTCAATAAGGCAATCATTTTATTTAATCAATAAAATAACATATTCCAACCAAGGGTCACAATGAATAATATAAAATAAGGGTGAGTGATTATATTGTTCAGCTAGTTATCAAATTCATTTTCATTTTGATTTTGGTGCTCATTTTCATTTATATTAGTATGGTTGTATTTACTAACATGATATAATATCGTTGTATAATATAATATATTGCTCGGGGGAGCGAGCTGGTCTAATGGTTAGAGTGCAGGACTTCGGTCCCTGAAGTCCCGGGTTAAAATCCTACCAAATCACTAATGGATTTTATCTAAGTGATAGTGCCGCAATCCTAAGTCTAGCCTAAAGTAATGTGAAAAACAATCCCAGGCTCTTGCCTAGCGTCATAGGAAAATAAAAATTGATTCCTTTAGAAGGGGTCGCAAAATTGATTTTTTGCCACACTACACAGAGTAAGGTTTCTATACTGTTCTTAGACGAGAAAGTCGTTATTTACAGAAAGGGTCCGGAAAAGACAGCTGGAGTGCAATAAATTTATCAGCCAGTTTTGCAATAGGCATTAAACAAAGCTACCTCTGCAGAACCGATAGACTATAACACTATAACAATGCATTGACTGTATTTTGTTAGTTTTAGCGAATTTCCCATATAGGGAATAAGCTATTACCGTAGGTCTCATGGTAAGACCTAGACTCGGGACCGATTTACTTTTTTGTTTTGAGGTCCCCAGAGACCAAAAACACCATCCGTTCAAATTCATATATATATATTTATATATGTGTCCGTTAGCGCGATAACTCGAGCAAAAATAATCCGATTTTGATGAAATTTGGTACAAATGTGTAAACCTACGTTTATTTGAACGAGTTCGCGAACCAGCATAATCGGACCATGGGAACAGGGGTTTAAGGGGAGTTTTATGGGGTAAAAATGGGTTTTTCCCATTTTTTACCCTAAAAACAAAAAATTTTGCAATTTCTTTCTGAACCATTTTGTAGAGCTTAAAAAAAGAAATAATTTAGTATATTGAAGCGCTGTTGCCTAACGGTCACGGAGGAAATAAAAAAAAGTGTAATTTAAAATTCCCATGTTATTCTTATGGAGAAAATGAAAACTGTTGTAGTTTACTTGTTTATGGATATATATTGATAAAATTTGGCAAATTTATTTATTTCACCCTATACTATTGACATATGGTCAAAAAACACTTTTTACCTTCACCGTAGCAGCAAACCTAAGCACTTGTTAAATCTAATGTTATTTAAATTGGGAATAAATATGTCTTATTTATGGAAATATTTTAGTAAAAATGTAATCAGACAAGTTAAAATTCGCTTAGTCTGCAGGTTTGCTGCGGCGGGGGTATTAATCACTTTGATTTAACTAACGCCATTGTGTACAGAATTGTAGTCATTTGCGAATTAATTTATTACTGAAAATGCATTACGATAGGGAATATTGTGGAGTTCCACATAAACAATAGCCAAAATACATTTTCTCGAATATGCTGCATGATAAAAGCAAAATTTTAGTAAGGTTAAGCTAGTCTACATGTCTAAATTCGGTAAAAACCTCTAGTAAAAACTTGTTGCTTGTATGGCAAAAAGTATCGACATAACTCACCCGGAAAAGTGTTTACGGTACTCATATGAAATTCTGCACTCGGAGAGCTTCGCATGGGAACAATCACTCTATCAATTTTATCAATTTCAGTATTTCTCGTATTGTAGACACCTACACCCAGCCTTGTAGCGTAATATACTATTTCATTATTGGCAGCCATCTATAAATCCTAGTTCACTCTGCACAGCACTTTACTGGAATGCATCTATTGGGTATTTTTTCTCTCTTTTTTTTCTAGGACGCTAGGCACGAGCCTGGGATTGTTTTTCACATTACTTCAGGCTTGACCTAGGAGTTGCGGCATTATCACTTAGATAAATCCATTGGTGACTTGGCGGGGATCGAACCCGGGATCTCAGGGACTGAAGCCCCGCACTCTAACCACTACGCCAGCTCGCTACCCCGTATATATAGCAAGATGACTTACAAAGGTCCAGTGTAGCCAGCTTTGCAGAGACATTGTCCCGAGACGTGATGACACGATGCTCCATTATGGCATTGACATTCCTCCTCGCAATCCTGACCAAAGTGGTGTTCATCACACTTCTCTTCACACCTTCACAACAAACACAGAGCGCAAAATTAAGTTTTGAATAAAAATATGCCATTCAATATTTTTATATTTATTTTGATGAACAAAAGTTCAAAATATATGCCTGAGGTTTGAAATGAAAAATATATCTATTTAAGATTGTAACTCAATCTGTAACAACAAAATAAATATAAAAAAGTAGTGACACATATCTTACAAAAAATACTGTAAATCAGTAGCGGCTGGTTGTCTTAGGTGGTGGGAGGGCTCTGCATATTTTTATGTATAAACGAAAGCCTAACATCATTCACATTTGTCAAAGAATTGAAAAAATGTAAACTATCAACAGTATACATATGAATCCCGCTTTTATTTTTTTTTTTTAGGGCGCCCACTGGGTGCCCCCCAACCACTGCCCGCCCGCACTAGGTAAAAAGGGGGCGATGCTTTTGGGGTTTGCCCAGGGCTCCACTGACTCTTAACGCGGCCCTGTCAAAATGCAACGGCTTTCTTATTTACACTCAAATGAAATAAATATTATCATAGATAAATATTATCTCCAAATGTTTCAGAGGAGGAATATAACAATTTAAGACAAAATAACAATGAGGGCCTCTGTTACTGGTGGATCACTCACTTTTCCCCTTGATATCCTGACGCACACTGGCACTTTCCGCTGTAGGGATCACAAGTAGAGTTGTTAGCACATTCACATTGTTTGTCACAAGCTGTTCCCCACAAGCCTATAGGACAAGCTGTAACACAAAATATAGATATTATATTTTACATTTAATAACTCTTCATAATCCTGTAACGAGCTATTTTCCCTAGGGGGGTATATTATTGCTATTTGGCTGCGCACCGATTGTTGAGGTGAGCTAGCGGCGGCGGCGAAGCTAGCGAGCGCCCTTTGACCCGGCTTATCAGTGCCGATAAGCCTGGGATATCCTAGATGTTCAGGATAGCCTAGGACGGACATTCTAGTCGTGGATCCCATGGAGTAGAGAGCGAGCGTGTGTCTAGTGAGACGTCCAGTGGTGTACGTGACAGTGGTGTCGGAGTATGCTGGTGGTGTGATCGCGCCGAGTGTTGGTGTAAGTTGGGTACTGACCCACTTGTGGTGAGTGGACGACTTGATATTATTAGTTTGATAATATTAATATCTGGTTTTATTGCGAAAGTTAGAGTTGTAACCGTGCTGGTCAAAGCCTGACGGTAGTTAGGATTTATATTAGTCAGGAATAATATTAAAGTGTATTCCTGACGGTTCTGGGCAGGTGCGAGAGCGCAAATACTATAATTTATTGACTGTAGTAGTCATTATTTTGCGTTGTACCAAGAGTTAGTTATATTACTAATAACTCTGAGGCCCGACAAACCTAGGCTGCACGATTTGGCGTGCGTAGTTGGAAGCACGAGGCCAGTAGGCTAGTAGCTAGTTTTATTAGCCTATTAACAGAAGCCCAGCTAAGTAACACAAAGTTGGTAGTAGCAGTAGCAGTAGTAGGGTTGTTATTGTTTACTCATTTGATTATTTTAATTTAACCTGAACAGCTTGTTTGGTAATCCAACACGTTATCTTGGTAGCTTGGATAGCGGAGTACCGGCTATCAGATAATATATTTATCTAGTGTTTGGAACGTATTTAATATTTATTTATCTGTTACTAAGTAGCTCAATAATTTAATAGTAGTGCGATTGCCATTTAGCTTTGCTTGTTTGGCTTAGTATTTATTGAGACCAGCTACTAGTGGTGTAGTCACTCTGTCTATAGTATACTTGTATATTATTATATGGTATTAGTATCGAGTGGACTGTTTGATTCTTAGCTTGGGCATTAGAGTTGTGTATTGGATTATAGTGGCCTAGTAGACCCCGCCTGTTGATAACTCGCGTTGTGGTTTTTATTGGCAAGTCGTCGTGTAACTCACTGTGTTTTAGGCACTCTGGGCTTAACTATTGGATAGTTAGGACGAAGCCCGAGTTGCGTAGTCAGCAACGAACCCCTAGGAGAGTGGAGAATCGGCGTAGGCCTGGTAGTGATTATTGCACGTTTGTTTTGGTGACTTGTTTTTGACTTGTTCACAGTGCCCGTGTATGAGCCAGTCCTATACCGGTTAGACCCGGCTTTTGGCCTAGTGGTTTCCCTGACCTTATCGCAGACCCTGGAATCTTACCCAGCCATTGTAGGCTGAGCTATCCCCGGCAAACGGTTGCGACTGCACTTTTAATATTTATTTTTTCCAGTGCAGAAAATCTCGTCGCAAGATGGCGCCTGCGAACAGGGACTGAGGTTGGCAGTGGTGCTGAGTTGCTGACGTATTAACGGCGCCCGAACAAAATCATTTTTTTTGTGCAGATTTGCTGCGGACTTGTGCAGATTGGCTGCGGACCTGAGCTGTTGAGCAGAGTTTTAGGCAGACTTGCTGTGATTTTATAGTCGGTTGGGTAGGCCTAACCTGTTTTCTGTTACAGCGTGGTGTGTTGTGAACCCTAATTTATTTAGTGGTTGTATACATAGATATTAGTTAGTAATTTTAATTTTGCTAATTAATTGAGCCTTATCATTGAATATTATTTGAGTGAGAACCCTTATTGTGTATTTGTGGTTTGACTTTCACACCCATAATTGGTTTGATTTAATAGTACGGTGTTAAATAGATTTAAATCGGTTTCGCTCTTATTTTTGCGGATTAGTCGTGGTATTTGAATTTTAAATATGGTTGTGACTACGAGTACGACGTCTGTGCTGGGCGGTACGCCTATTACGTCTGCTATTGTTACAACTAGTTCTGGGGTTAGCTCCGAACTGTCGGTGATGACGACGTCGTCATTGTGGCCTGCGTCTTCGCCTGTTTGGCCGACTATTTCATCGGTCGTGGGTACGACGGTGACAACGTCTCTGACCTATTCCGCGCCAGCGACTATGTCCTTGGGGTCGCAGCCCCGGGACGGCCGCGTGGGTTGGATATATGACCTCTCGAAGGGGGAGCTCATAAGGACGATGGACCAGTATGGTTTGGTGACCACTGGTACTTCTGCGGAATTACGGCAGAGATTCTCGTCGTTTTGGAAGCAGCGGAATGCCCGCCGGTACAGCGATGATAGGCTGTGTACGATGGCTGGGGCTGCTGCACCGACATATTTACCGCCGGCTATTACCACTATGGGACTTTCTGACCCCCCGGGAACCGTACCTCAGGTACTGGTTAGTACTGCATCGGGCCAAACAGAGATATTTGAACTTGGCAGGGAGTTAGAGGCGGTCAAAGAGATTCTTGGGTTGTCTTTGGAGACTGATACCCGGACTCTTCGAGAATATCTGGCATCGGTGGTGCGACAGGCGAGAGGCTCGCCGAGTGATGGGGTCGGCTATGGGTTCGGAAGACCCGCCAACCCTACGTTCCCTGTTGTGGCTGCTCCCTTGCCTACCTTTGGGTTACCTAGTAGACCCGAGGGATGGCAGCGACCTAGTGATCATTTGGAGAGACCAGTCCGTCCTTCTAGTGTGGAGGTGCCACGTGGATCGGGTATGCTCTCGAGTGAGGCCAGCAGGGTGGAGCCGAAGAATTGCTCCAAGATATGTGACATGGTCCGAAAGTGGGGTTTGAAGTTTGATGGACGTAGAGACCCTGTGTCATTCCTGGAGCGTCTTGAAGAGCTGATGGTCTCGTACTCTATATCGTCGGAGGACCTGCTCAGAGCGCTACCGGAGCTGCTGCAAGGTTCAGCACTTCTTTGGTATAGGAACTGCAAGGAGCTCCTGTATTCTTTTGAAGCTTTCCGGCATCAATTCGAGATCCAGTTCCTTCCACCTGGTTATCAGAGGAATTTGGATGAGGAGATCCGGAAAAGGACGCAGGGTGAGACCGAACACTTCCGAGATTATGTCGTGGCCATAAGTACCTTGCTTAGGCGTAGCGGTACGTTGTCAGAGCATGGTAGATTGGACTTGATCTACAACAATATGCGTCCTGAGTACAAGCTGATGGTACGCCGGCGTGACTTCAGCAACCTGGCCGAGATGGTGGAGTTGGCTGAAGATTACGAGGCCTATCTGCGAGAGAAGGCAGCCTTCCGACCTCCTCCTTCACCAAACGTAGCGCTGGTTTTGGAAACCGCCTACGTTCCCAAGAAGAAGGCTGGGAAGTGTTTTGAAACGGCCACGGTCGAAAGACATAATTTTCAGAGACCATCCCTTAAGGCAAAGTCGATTGGGCAGAGAGTAGATTTTGACTGTAACCGGGTCCATGAACAAAGGCCCGTAATGACTAGGGAAGTTGCTGATGGTGCAAAGGATGTGCGTTGTTTTAGGTGCCAGGAGATTGGTCACTTTGCCAGAGGCTGTGGCAAACTGAGGACCGTCTCCTGTTTTGGATGTGGGAAACCTGGTTTTACTGTGAACCAGTGTGGATGTCGTGCGGGAAACGGCAGGCCAGCTCAGACATCAGGAGGTCAACTGAGCGAGGCCACCCGAGACGAACGACCTCAGACGAATGGTGGGAGTGGCTCGGAAAACTGAACAGTTTGGTTGGGGGAGTGGAGGAGGACCAGCTGATTTCGGAGTCAAGGCCCTTTGTGGAAGTTGTGCTGATGGGCAGCGTTTTTAAGGCGTTATTGGACACTGGGTCCGTAGTTAACCTGGTTGGGCGAGAAGTCGCCGATCATCTTCAACACCAGGGGGTAGAACCTTTTAAGAAACCCTCTCCTCTGAGGATGGCAGATGGGTCACGGTCGAGGGCCGAGTATTCGTTTCGGCTAGCAGGAGAAGCTGCGGGAAGACGGTGGATAGGAGATGCCTTGTACGTCCCCACTCTCACCACAGACATGATTCTGGGTATGGATGTCATCCGAGACCTCGGATTGGTGACATGTGGGACAGAGGTAGTAAGAATGGGCGTGGGTGATGACTGTTCTGGCCAAGGTGGCCGCATAGACAGTGTAAAAATTGGTGACGAAGACCCCGAAGGCCCTTGCAATGGAAATCCCCGTCTGGTTCCTGATGCCAAATCATTCAGCACTATGTTGGCTGGTAGTGGCTAGTAGAAGAGTTTTTCTTTGTTGTTTTGCTTTGAGACCCGTGGTAAAAGAGGAATCATTGGGTTAAGAGCCGGAGTATTTTGTTTTGGCCGGAGTTCAAAGATTTTTTTTTCTTTTGGCCGTTTTCTTTTTTTTCATCCCGATGTAAGTGGGGGGTGTAACGAGCTATTTTCCCTAGGGGGGTATATTTTTGCTATTTGGCCGCGCACCGATTGTTGAGGTGAGCTAGCGGCGGCGGCGAAGCTAGCGAGCGCCCTTTGACCCGGCTTATCAGTGCCGATAAGCCTGGGATATCCTAGATGTTCAGGATAGCCTAGGACGGACATTCTAGTCGTGGATCCCGTGGAGTAGAGAGCGAGCGTGTGTCTAGTGAGACGTCCAGTGGTGTACGTGACAGTGGTGTCGGAGTATGCTGGTGGTGTGATCGCGCCGAGTGTTGGTGTAAGTTGGGTACTGACCCACTTGTGGTGAGTGGACGACTTGATATTATTAGTTTGATAATATTAATATCTGGTTTTATTGCGAAAGTTAGAGTTGTAACCGTGCTGGTCAAAGCCTGACGGTAGTTAGGATTTATATTAGTCAGGAATAATATTAAAGTGTATTCCTGACGGTTCTGGGCAGGTGCGAGAGCGCAAATAATATAATTTATTGACTGTAGTAGTCATTATTTTGCGTTGTACCAAGAGTTAGTTATATTACTAATAACTCTGAG